TTTCTTGTCAGCCAGGTGGCGTTGGGTTCACATTGTTCAGACTTGTAGTCAATTCTGAGACTTTAACAAATGTCTTCTTAAAGACTACAATACAAACTGTTATTGAAAACATTTTGTGGCCGGGCGGTGGTGGTGCACACCTTTAATCCCAGCACTTGGAAGAGAGAGAGAGAATCTTTCGTGTACTTATAAAGATACTGCTGCATCAGGCATAGTTTCTCACACATGTAATTCTAGCACTTGTGTTGCTAGGGCAGGAGGATCATGGAGAGTCTGAGGCTAGGGGAGGCTACAGAATGAGTTCCAGGCCAGTCTGGACTACAGTGTAAGGCCCTGTCTTAGAAGTACAAAAAAAGAGGGACCGTAGAGATGGCTCTGTGGCTAAGGGCACTTGCTGCTCTTGTAGAAGACCTGGTTCAGGTTCACTACAGTCTGTAACTCCAGTTCCAGGGGATCTGACTCCCTCTTCTGGTCTCTGTGGGTATCAGGTGCTACCCACATATATGCAGATGCTCACACATACAAATAAATAAAACTTAAAAAGAAAAGCTAAAAAAGAAGATGAACTTGGAGTCACTAGACCCCTTTGTCTGTTCTTCTTTTCGGTGTGGTTACATTGAATAATTTTCTCTGTCACTGTCCGCAGAGCAGGGGCTATACATTTCCATTTTGTGAACAGGTATCTGTTCTTGCTGTGGAAACTCTGGAGACGAGTTTCCACTGTACAGTTGAGGCTGTCTTAACCTTGCTGTTTAACCCAGGCTGGCCTAGAATGTGAGATCCTCCTGTCTCCTTTGCTGGGATGACAGGTATGCATGTCCAGCCTGCTGTTTCTCTTTATTTTCTTGCCCCCCCCCCCCCCCCCCCCCCCCCCGCTTCTCTCCCTTTTCTGTAGCTAAGGCTGCCCTCGAACTCACCCTGTAGCTGAGGATGACCTTCAACTCCTAATCCTCCTGCCTCTATCTTCCAAGTGCTGGAGTGATAAGTTTAGGCCACCATGCCTCCCTGTTTTTGTTTTGAGTCAGGGTCTCATTCTGTAGTGCAAACTAGTCTGAAATTTGCTATGTAGCCTATGTTAGCCTCAAAGTTGTGGCAATCCCCCTCCTTCAGACTCACAAGTGCTGGGATTAGAAGCAGGAGCTACCACACCTGACTTTTATTTTCCTTCTTGATAGTAAATAAATAATGATAAGTATTAAAATTGCAATATCTTACAGTAAGCCATTATGGTATCTCATTAGGTTACCCCATGAGGTTATTATAAAGTATAAGGATTAAGTGAATTATATACAATGTTTACAGGCTCGGAACCAAAGTTAGCACCATCTAAGAACTATTGTTATAAAAAATTTACAAAGTGAGTCATTGTTAATTTAACAGTAGCATCCTCCACTCTGACTTCTAATATATCATAAGCGGCACGCTTTTGAGAAATGCAAAAGGAAAATTAGAGGTTTCTCCAATGTGAAAATAATGGCCTTGGAAATGAATTATCAGTACCATCAAAGCAAAGGAAGGCTCTAACAGAAGCAGACTCCCTGAACTCTTCTCAGAGAAGGGGATGCTCATGAAATTTCTTTGGAAACAGCCCAGAAATAAAACCTGGATGTTGCTCAAATGATATTTGACCAAGAGTTCCAAGAATGCACAGTGAGTAAGGGATAGTCTCCTCGACGCATGATGCTGGAGAAAATTGGTATTCTCAGGCCAGAGAGTGAAGCCAGCTTGTCTTCCTACAGCGCAATAACAAGTTCATTCTCTGTACTCAGGTAGAGACAAGAGAATTGTGAGTTTGGGGCATATTGAGCCACCTGTGAGTTCCAGGGAAGCTACGGCTTAAAAAAGAAAAGAAAAAGTGAAAATAAAAATAAAGCCAGGCACGGTGGCTGGTGCACACCTGTGATCCCAGCAACTTGGGAGGTTGAGGCAGGAGGGTAACAAGTTTGAGGCTAGCCTGAGTTCCACAGAGAGACCCCATTTTAAGAACAAAACAAATAAAAAACTCAAAATAACACACACATTTCTTTATGGCATTGGGTTAGCAATGATGTCCTGCATGTAATACCACAGGCACAACAGGACAAGCAAGATAACAACCTAAAAAGCTTCAACACAACACAAAACAAAACAAAAAACAAAAACAAGCCACAGAATGAAAAGGCAACCCACAGAACAGAAGGAAGTATTTTCAAACTATATATTTGATAGGGGATGGATAACCCAAATATACAAGTAACTCCTGTAACACCAAATAAGCCCAAATATCCCTACTTTAAGAAAGGGTAAATAATCAGGAACCATGGCTCACACCCACACTTCTAGCATGTAGGAGGCAGAAGCAGGAAGAACAGTGATTGTGAGGCTAGCTCTGGTATCTTAGTTGGGGTTTCTATTGCTGTGAAGAGACACCATGACCACAGCAACTCTTGTAAAGGAACACATTTAATTGGGGTGGCTTACAGTTCAGAGGTTCAGTCCATTATCATCACAGTGAGACATGGGGGCATGCAGGCAGACATGGTGCTGGAGAAGTAGCTGAGAGTCCTGCATCTTGCAGGCAGCAGGAAGTGGTCTCTGTGTCACACTGAACAAAGCTTGAGCAAAAGAGACCTCAAAGCTGGCCTCACAATGATGCACACTCCAACAAGGCCACACCTTACTTCAACAAGGCCATACCTCCTACTAGTGCCATTCCATTTGGGGGACATTTTCTTTTAAACCACCACATCTGGCTTGTCTCAAAAAATAAATGAATTGTAAAAGGCCCCAAATACACATTTCTCCAAATAAGATATATGAATATCTAAAAGGAATATGAAAAGATGTTTAATGTCAATGATCATAAAAGGAAAGGGGTTCAGCCAGTTGGCTCAGCAGGTAAAACAATTGCAGTGAAAACCTGATGACCTGTGTTCACTCCCTGGACCCTACCTAAAGGTGGAAGGAGACTAGACTCCAGACAGTTGTCCTCTGACCTTCACATATGCACAACGGCACATATATTCACAGAGGCACACATACACCTGCATATATACCATGTACACACACACACACACACACACACACACACACACACACAAAGAAAATGCCAGCCGGGCGGTGGCGGCGCACGCCTTTAATCTCAGCACTCGAGAGGCAGAGCCAGGCAGATCTCTGTGAGTTCAAGGCCAGCCTGGTCTACAAAGCAAGATCCAGGACAGGCACCAAAACTATACAGAGAAACGCTGTCTTGAAAAGCAACAACAACAACAACAAACCCAACAAAAAACAAAACAAAACAAAACAAACAGAAAAAGAAAATGCCAATCAAAACCACAGGGAGCAATAATTCACAATCTTGTTAGAATAGTAAACAAACAAACAAACAAACACAGGCCTTGCAAGATGACCCTGTGGATAACCAAGTTTGCTGCCAAGCCTGACCACCCGACTCGATTCCCAGAATCCACATGGGGGAAGGAGACAACCAAGTCCACAAACTTGTCCTTGAACTCCTGCATGTGAGGTGCGTTCACACTCACCGTTTGTACAAAACAAAACCCAAAACGCCAACAAGGAATGGAGCTGTAGTTGGCACATGCCTAGTGCTTGCCTAGCATGTCTGAAGTACTGTGTTCGACCCTCAGCAGGAATCTACCAGGCAGTACAGACCTCTCATTCTAGTACTTGGGAAGTGAAGCCAGAAGCATCAGTCAGCAGTTCAAGCTCATTCTTGGCTATAGGGTGAGTTCAAGGGGCCAGCCTGGGGTATCATTGAGATCCAGAAACAAAACAAAAGTGTGTGTTGTGTTAACAGGGATGAGATTATTTGGCATGGAAATGGTAAAAAAACAAAACAAACAAACAAACAAAACAAAACAAAACAAACAAAAAACCCTAGCCAAATTTTGCCAAAGATAGGCAAGGCTTCATTGAAACTTTGAAATGAATTGCCTGACTTTAGCTGGAGCTGAAGAGAGACAACATTGATTGAGAGATATATAAAGTGTTCTGTGAAGCTTTTCTTGATTTGCTGGCTCAGGGTAAAGTAGCCCCCTTCTCCTTTAAAAACATTTTTTTTAGATTTATTATTTTATGGGTATGAGTATTTTGCCTACATGGATGTATGGGCACCACATACCCAAGGAGGCTAGAAGTAGGCATCAGCTCTCCTAGAACTGGAGTTACGGGTAGTTTTGAGCTGCCATGTGGGTGCTGGGAATATAACCCCAGTCCTTTGCAGGAGCAAGAAGTACTCTTAAAATCGAGCAAACTCACCAGTCTTTTTTTTTTTTTTTTAGACAGGGTCTGGATTTATGAAGCACTGGCTGTCTTGAAACTCACTACATAAAACAGGCTGGTTTTCCAACTCAGAGATCCACCTGCTTCTGCCTCCAGAGTGCAGGGATTAAAGGTGTACATCACTATGCCCGGCTTCATTTTTTAAAGATTTGTTTTTTAATTATGTGTATGTCTGTGTGAATGAATGCCATATGTCTATGGTACCCTCAGAGGCCAGAAGAGAGTGTTGCGTCCCCCAGAACTGCAGTTACAGGCTGTTGTGAGTTGCCTGATTTGGATGTGGGCAGCCTAATTCAGGCTCTCTGAAATAGCAGCAAGTGTGCTCCTAACTGTGGAGCTCTCAGGCCACTGATGCTGATGCCCTCCTCCTCTGCCCTGGGGATGCAGTCCAGTGCTTCATATATGCTAACAAGTGTCCTCCTCCTCTACTACTACTACTACTACTACTACTACTACTACTACTACTACTACTACTACTATAACATCCTCCGTTTTATTTATTTTGAGACAGGCTAGCCCAGGCTAGTCTTGAACTTGCGATACTCCTGTTTCAGCTTCCCCAGTAACTTGAGTTTACAGGACTGTCCCGCCAGGTATGGCAGGTTTGGTAATTTCCCATTAGCCAGTAGCACAGTTTCAAAAGATGCTTTTTTTTTTCCTTCCTTCCTCCCTCCCTCCCTCCTTCCTTTCTCTATGTAGCCTTGGCTATCCTGGAATTCACTCTGTAGAACAAACTGGTCTCGAACTCAGAGATCCGCCAGGCTCTGCCTCCAAGTGCTGGGATTTAAAGGCATGCGCCACCATGGCCTGGCAAAAGATGCCTTTCTCTTTATTCAAGGAATGGACAAGTTGAGTGGTCAACTCATTCCAGAAACTGCTGAGTTCTTCTTGCAGCTGGTGCCATTGTCCTGTGCAAATATCCTGGTCTTTTAGGTTTGGGCTCTACAATAGGTTCGAGGACTTTCGGTTTATTTCTTAATTGCATCTGACTCGGTGTTCCTGGGAAGACGATTAGTCAAGTCAGTCATCCAGGAAAACAACGAAGATCCTGGCGATAATGGCCAGATAATGAATTGGTTAAATTGTAGCAATCTAAAAGCCTGACCTTTTTTTTTTTTCTTTTAATAAGTTCTCAGTATACAAACTACACCTCGGGCTGCCAGGACCTCCTAGTTTAAGTGCGCACTAGGTGGGGTGACAGACAGAATGGCTGGACAAGCCCCTCTCAAGGCGCCTACACAAGCGGGGTGAAGGGCGAAAAGCCAGCCCCAAGGTCTTGGGGCTTGGATGAAGCCGCATCCTTGAAGGGAGGGCAAGGACCGTCGAGAGTGGAGGTGCCGCGGCTGCAGGCCGATCCTGGAGGTAGAAAGGCTAGCCGCTGCTTGCGGTGGGCATAACAGAGCGAGTGGCTCAGGACGCCGTTTACTCGGCAGCCTCCAGCCCGCGTCACGATTTGCGACAGACTGCTTTGCGGCCCGGGTCGCCTCCTGACTTGACTTACGGCTCCTCCTTCTGTTTCGCCTTGGGTGCGGACCTCCTTCCCGGCGTGGCCTGAGCTTGCGCCTCCGTCTCTTCTGCGAGGCCCCCTTCGGCTGCCCGGTAGTGGGACCGAGCTCCTGCGTGCACCGCGTTCCGAGGCGCGTGAGTGGGTCGGCGGGGTCGCGGACTGGAATTCCTCGGGTGGCTGCTGCGCACGCCTTCCGTGGGGGCGTCTCACCTGGGGAGGCGCCGGGTCCGGGTCGCTGATCGCGTGCTGGGGAGGGCAGCCCTGGAGGTGGTGGCGGTGCAGCTCTGCACCGCGCCACACTCGCGGTAACTGTCGGCGACTGGGTGAAGTTGGAGGGAGGGAGTGGGTGGAGTTGGGAAGCACCGATCGACTTGAGGAATTTGACGTTCGGGGTAGCCGCATATTCAGTCTTTCTGGACTTTGAAAAATGAGGCGTGCGTGAGTACACTAAATTCACCCCTTGGAGGTGTACAGTTCCGTGGTTACTAGTATGTTTTAGGGGTTGTGCAACCCCTACCATTATCGAGTTTCACAATATTTTCATCACCCCTAAATAAATCCTGAAGCCCTAGTTAGCTCCCCTCCCATCTTCCCTACTCCCAGCTCCACTTCTACTTTGTATCCGTGAACTTAGCTGTTTCACTTGGGTGAAATAATACAGTACTTTTAATGTGTGTAGGGGCTGTTTTTATCCCGTTTTCATTATCCATCAGTTGATAAGTTGATGGCCATCTAGGCTGATTTGTTGCTGTTGTGGATAGAGCAGCATATGAAGAGATGTGCAGGTATCTCTGTGGTTGGATCTAGAGTCCTTTGGGCATATGCATAGGAGAGGGATAGCTAGGCCATGAGGTCAAAACAAACAAGTTTTCGTTTTTTGAGAAATGCTCAACACTAATTTCTGTACTATTTGCACTAATTTATATTCCCATCAACAAATAAGGGTTCCTCTTCCTCCCTCCTAGCCTTTTACTACTTGTGTTCTTGTTGACAGTCATGCCGACTGAAGTGAGATCGGATCTCAGTAGTGTTAGTTTTCATTTCTTTGGTGGCTAATGAAGTTGAACACTTTAAAATGTATCATTGGCCTGGGGCTGGCTGGCTGGCTGGCTCAATGGTTTCTGCTCTTGGGGAGAACTGAGTTGGGTTCCCAACACTCATCATCAGGTGCCTTACAGCCACTAATAACCCCAGCTCCAGGGGATCTGAAGCTTCTGGCCTCCACAGGCCCCTTCACTCACATTCACATACCCACACACAGACACATACATATATAGTTAAAACCAGCCTTTCAAATAAAGATTTGAACTGTTATAACATAAAACCCTACATCCGAGTCACAGAGAACATGTGAAGAGTAGGAAAGAGTGTAAGAACTAGAAGACCAGGAAGTCTGCTGTAACAGTGTGTCTTTTACATGACAAGGACATTACACCCGTGACATCTCAATGTTGCTGCCTTAATAAGACCTGGACAATGATAGCACCAATTGACATGCCAACTTGGATGGGGGAACTCTCACGGGGCTCCACTTCTAGATAAAGAGGTCTAGGCAATTAGTGACTATCGAGGGAGGGAGAATAAGTCTTTCCCAGAAAGTATCAAGTGATGATCCAGTAGCGAGTGATGGGCCCTAAAATCATGCTACATTAAACGGACTCAGTAGGTTTGTATTTATGTATTTATTCATATATGTGTGTCTGTGTTATGGACGTAAAACAAAGAATAAAAGGCCATGAAGTTGGGGGCAGGCTATGGGAAGAATGGAGGAGAGAAGGGGAAATGATATATTTTAATTAAAAATAAAAAATATTGGAGCCGGGCGGTGGTGGCGCACGCCTTTAATCCCAGCACTCGGGAGGCAGAGCCAGGCGGATCTCTGTGAGTTCGAGGCCAGCCTGGGCTACCAAGTGAGCTCCAGGAAAGGCGCAAAACTACACAGAGAAACCCTGTCTCGAAAAACCAAAAAAAAAAAATAATAATAATAATAAAAAAAATATTGGCGATAGAGAGATGACTCAGTGGATAGGAGCAGTGGCTGTTCTTCCCAAGAACTCAGTTTCGGTTCTCAGCACCCACATGGTGGCTTACAGCTATCTATAACTCTAATTGCAAGGAATGCCTTCTTCTGGACTAGGAAGCACTAGGCACACATGTGGTACTTAGACATGCATGCAGGCAAAACACACATACACATAAAATAAACATTAAAATGTTTCTTAAAAAATATTCAAACTTTGAAATTAAAAAAAGTGGACTGGGTGGTAGAAGCACATGCCTTTAATCCCAGCAATTGGGAGGCACAGGCAGGCAGAACATTGAGTTTGAGGCCAGCCTGGTCTGTAGAGCAAGTTTCAGGACAGCCAGGGCTACTCAGAGAAACCCTCTCTAGAAAAATAAAATAAGCCGTGTGGTGGTGGCACATGCCTTTAATCCCAGCACTTGGGAGGCAGAGACAGGTGGATCTCTGAGTTCGAAGCCAGCCTAGTCTACAGAGCTAGTTCCAGGACAGGCTCCAAAGCCACACAGAAATCTTGTCTCAAAAAACAAAAATAAAATAAAATGTTGTTGGACATTTATATTTCTGTTAGTTCCTCAGCCCATTTCCGCTGACTTATTTGCTGTCTTGTTGAACTTTTTGCATTGTTTGTATATTCCATATCGTCTCTCAAGTGTAAAGCTGGCCAGATTTTCTCCATTCTGTGCCTTTTCCTTTGGTATTTTTATTTTTATAGAATTGATTGGTGGCCTTATTTCATTAGCAGCCAGAGTCCTACTCAGAAAGTCCTTACCTATGCCTGTATCTTGACGTGTTTTCCTTTTTTCAGCAGATTAGTCTTGTTCTAAGGTCTTTTATCCATTTGGATTTGATTTATGTGGAGGGTGTTAGATAAGGATCTGCTTTCATTCTTCATGTAGTTTACCTGTTCTCCACAACTGCTGGGTGAAGAGACTGTCTTTTCTCCAGAGAGTTTTGGCCTCTTTGTCAAAGATGAGGTGGCCGTAGCTGTGTAAGGGTCTGCACCTGTGTCTTCTGTGCTCTTCAGTGGGGCTGCAGCCTTGTTCTGTCCCAGTGCCAGTATCCTACCGGTCCTGTTACGGCTCTGTATTATAACTCGTTACCACGAACGGCAATTTGCTCAGAATTGCTTGGTCATTGTACTTCGAAACTAATTTTTTGTTGTGTTTTGGTTTTTCAAGATAGGGTTTGTCTGTGTAACAGCCCTGACTCCCTTGGAGCTTGCTTTGTAGACCAGGCTGGCCTAAAACTTGAAGAGATCCACCTGTCTCTGCCTCCCCAAGTGCTGGAATTAAAAGTGCGCATCACCACCACCCAGCTGACAAGCTTTTTTTTTTTTTTTGGTTTTTCGAGACAGGGTTTCTCTGTGTAGCTTTGCGCCTTTCCTGGGACTCACTTGGTAGCCCAGGCTGGCCTCGAACTCACAGAGATCCGCCTGGCTCTGCCTCCCGAGTGCTGGGATTAAAGGCGTGCGCCACCACCGCCCGGCTGCTGACAAGCTTTTTATAGTTCAGTGGTAAGAGGTTTCCAAATGGGGGATTTGTCAGGCAAAATAGGTAGGAGTACAGGAGTAGAACATGAGCATGAGTAGTAACAATCTCCTGGAAAAAAAGGACATGATTGTAAGGTGGTCTTAACAACAGGTAGTCATAGCAAAGTAGTCATAACAGCAGGTAGTCATAACAACCCTTTTGAAACAAAGGTAGGTTACAAGATGGTTGTTAATGTTTTGAAACAAAGACATGGTTGCCATTCCTGGAACAGGCAGTACAGAAACATTTGTAGTTCAGGTTACAGGTGGGCATAGCCCAATCCTTGAGAAATGTAACATGAATTGCTAAACAATCTTATTAAAAAAAAAACAAAACCCAGGGGTTGGGGATTTAGCTCAGTGGTAGAGTGCTTGCCTAGCAAGCACAAGGCCCTGGGTTCAGTCCTCAGCTCCGGAAAATTAAAACAAATAAACAAACAAAAAACCAGAGTCTGATATTGGGGTGAAAGCTGAAAGATCAGAGAAACAGAACAAGCCACAGCCAACTTCACCTTGCCAACTCCTCAGCCGATCCGGTTTCCACGAATTCTCAGACTGAAAGCCTCACCCCTGAGGGTCTCAGTTGAACTGCTGCTTAGTTCCTGTCTCCTCAGCCTTATATACTGTTCTCCACCCAGCCATGCCACTTCCTGAGATTAAAGGCGTGTGCCACCACTGCCTGGCTCTGTTCCCAGTGTAGTCTTGAACTCACAGAGATCCAGACGGATCTCTGCCTCCCGAGTGATAGGATTAAGGGTGTGTGCCTCCACTGTCTGACCTCTATGTCTAATTTAGTGGCTGACTCTGACCTCTGATCCCCAGATAAATTTATTAGGGTACACAATATATCACCACAAGAAACAGAGGTTTAATCATAAGTCTTTCTGTGTCTTTCAAGCCTAAGATGGAGGAAGGATGGTTCTTCACATATCTACCATGAATAATGGGAATTGATGCTATAACCACTTCATTGATTCAGTAGTAAAAAGTCTACAGTGGATTTAAAGACCCAGTTTCTTTGATTTACTTTCTTTGGTGCTGGGGTTGGTGTTATGTGTGGGGAGGGGCCAGAGGACAGTGCAGAAGTCTGTTCTCACTCTACCATGGGTTCTGGGGATTGAACTCAGGCCGTCAGACTTGGCCGCAACCCTTCCTGCTGAGCCATCTTGCTGACCCATACCTTATCATTCTTTCCCTGTTCATGCTCCTTCCTTGCTTTCCTAGTTGACTTTCTCGTTGCCCTCTGGGCTGTTGTGGTAGAGACTGTAACTGACCTGTGTTGTTTGTTCCCTGTTAAAAAGGGCCTTCTGGGGCATAAGTGTGATTTTAATCTTTCTTGCCTTAAAATTCCCCATTGCTCTCTTGTGGCTGATGGAATGGTCTCAAGCTCTTCAGGGACTTTATAAAATGCTCTGTTCTCTTTGAAAAGGGAACAGTTGCAGAGGGAGAAGTGTCCATTTCCTCAGGTGGGGATGTCTCATTTCTCCACAGATTACTAGAAATGCTTTAGTTAATGGGGAAATGGAAAAGGATAAAAATGTTTTGTTTGCTTTGTCCCCACCTACATCCCACCTGCACCCCACCTGCACCCCTCCTGTACCCCACCTTACCCCCAGTACTGAGAATTGAATGCATCTCTGCTCATGCTACCTAAACAATGCCTCTTTATTTACCTTGTGTTTGTTTGAGACAGGGTTTCCTGTAGCTCAGGCTAGCTTCATGTAGCTAGCTTCATGTAACTCACCATGTAGCTGAGGCTATCATTGTACTCCTGATCCTTCTGCCTTCACCTCCTAAGTGCTGCACCGTTGTGCCCGATGTCTGTGGTGCTGGGGATCAAACCCTGCTTTGTGACGGTAGGCACCCTACAGCCTGAACCCTGTTTACCTTCGTCCATCATCCTGTTCTTGCTCACAGCTAGAAAGTACTCTGCTCTGGACTCTTACTGTTCATGGAATTCAATATGCTGTGTGGTTCTAGGCCTTCACTGCCTGTGAGGAGACAGCTGTATATCTTGGGAACAGGGATAGTTAAGCACCACCTCCTGACAGCCGGTGTTGAGGCTGCTCGCTGTGGCCAGAGTTTGGCACTCACTCTGGCTTGCCATGCAAGATAGGTACTAATCCAAAAAAGCTCTCGCATAGAGAGGTGCAGATGTTGTTGGAGTCTGGAAAGGAGTTCAGCGTGTGCACCACTGTGGTAAGAGCTGAGGGAACAGCAGGCAGGCAGAAAGAGCATGAGTAGGGTATGTTGTTCTATCCTGAACCTAGAGCTTGAGATCCAAGGTGCTCTCAGACCTTCAGGAAGTGGAATTCGGGAAGCAGGAGTTTGGGAAAACGGAGGGGAGAGAGATGAAGTCACTTCAGAGGTGCTGTTCTTGCTTGCCCACCTTTAGAACTCTGGCTGATGGTGTGACCTCCGGCAAGTGTTTCCCGGGAGGATGTATAATAGGATTGTGTGATAGGCTAGTCCATCCGGGGAAGGAGGAACAGCAATTTACTCCTTCCCATCTCCAGCTTCTGTTTCATTGGAGAAAGGTGTGCCCTGTGGTATATTAACTCCTTAACTTTCCAGGTTGTGCATGGCATGGCTTCAGGTGTGCTCTTGTAGCTCAAAGGCAAGAGAGTAAGTAGTCAAGGGTAGAGAGTGGAGGCATGCAGTGTGAGTTAGAACTTGCGGGGCTGCAGACTGCCCATGCACTGTGGTAAGACCCTGTGTATTTGGTTAGCCACTGATGCTGGCATGAAGAAAAGGGAATGGCCAGGAGTATCTGAGGTGCTGCCTGGTGTGTATACTTTCCACCTTTAACAAATGTACACACAGACGCACACTCACATGCTTGCGCATAGAAAAAAAAGGATGCTGCTGTTTCTTGGTGGTGAGATCCATTCAGTTTTTACTTTATTTGTAGTCACCCTTAAAAACAGATTTAAGGCCTGAGTTCAATTCCCAGCAGCCGCGTGGTGGCTCACAATCATCTGTAACTGTAGTCCCATGAGATCCAATGCCCTCTTCTGGTGTGCAGATGTACATGCAGGCAAAACACCCATACACATAAATAAAATAAGGTCTTTTGGAAGAGTGGCCAGTGCTCTTAACCACAAATCTATTTTCCAGCCTCTTTTATTTATTTATTGGTTTATTTTTTATTCTCATATATTACATCCCGGCCACGATTTCCCTTCCCTCCTTACTTCTCAGTTCCCCACTTCCATCCACGCCTGCTCCTTCTCTTCAGAAAAGGGCGGGCCTCCCAGCGATGTCAACCAAACATGGCATATCAATAAGACTAGGCACCTCCCTTCATACTTAGTCTGGATGAGGCAATCTTGTAGGAGAAAAATAGACTCAAAAGCAGGCAACAGAGTCATAGACAGCCCCTGTTCCCACCATTAGAAGTCCCACAGGAACACCAAGGTACACAGCCGTAACATTTATGCAGAGTGCCTACATCAGTCCCATGCAGGCTCCCTGGATGTCGGTTCAGTCTCTGCGAGCCTCTGTGAGCCCAGGTTAGTTGATTCTGTGGGTTTTCTTGTGGTGTTCTTGACTCCTCTGGCTTCTACAATCCGTCCTCCCCCTCTTCTACAGGATTCGCCAAGGAGGTCCACCTAATGTTTGACTGTGGGTCTCTGCATCCCTCGTTTTATTTTATTAATTTTTTAGGCCAGTGTCTAGTTTTATTTCTGTTACTATGACCAAATACCCTGACCAAAAAACAAATAAACAGCAACAACAAAACCAAACAGCAGAGGGGAGAACTTGTTTCTTTTAGTTCCTGTTCCGGGTTCCAGTCCGTGATTGCCAGGAAGTCAGGGGGCAGGCACTTGAAGCAGCAGTTACGTCACATCCACAGTCAAGGTCGGAGAGAGATGAATGACACATGCCTAAGGCAGTGAACCTTGTCCAATCTGACAATCCAGGCTCAGACTAAGGAGTGTTGCAGTCTATGTTCAGGCTGGGTTTTTCTCACATCGACTAAGGAGTGTTGCAGTCTATGTTCAGGCTGGGTTTTTCTCACATCGTTATATTATCAAGACAGTCTCCCAGATATGACCACAGACCAATCTAATCTAGTCAGGCCTTTCTTAAGACACCAGGTGATTCTAGATTCTATCAAGTTTACAAACTAACCATTATAGCAAGCAGTCACCCGGCTCACTAGCTGACCTGGTGAAGTCACCCAGCTCACTAGCTGACCTGGTGAAGCTGGGCTTCTCGAGTTTAGAACGTGAGTTATAGCAGGGGTGGGCACAGTGTGGCCTGTGGGCAAATCTGTTACTATAACTGTGTATACAGAGTTCAATTGAGATGCCCACTTCTGAATTGTCTGTGGCTGCTCTTACACTAACATTCCAGAGTTGAGTGGTTGTGACAGAGACTGTATTGCTCCAAAACAGAATATTTAATGCCTTGCCTCTGCTCACTCCACTGAATTGTTTTATTTCTATTTTGTTAAAAATATGCATATTTGAAAACTGAAACAGTTCTAGAAATTTATTTTATTGATTTGTTTTTTTGGGCATGGGTGGGGATTTGAGATAGGGTCTTATCTATTCCAGGCTAGTCTCCAAACTCAGTCTGTCAACAAGGCTGGCCTCCAAACCCCAAGGTTCCTCCCTGCACCCCGAGTGCTGGACTCATGGGTGTACCACCACACTCAGCTCCAGAACGTGGACTCTGAGGCCTGTGCTGGAGTGCTGTGTGACGGTCATTGAGTTGTGGTTTTACCAGCAGTACTCTGAGGATGCAGAGCAGTGGAGTCAGCTTCTCACGAGACAGGTTGGCAGTTTGACTGTTCTGGGGTGGTCTGGAGTGGTTCTGGTCTCTAATGACTGCTGCTGCTGGTGGTCCAGAGTCAGCCTGGCTGAATGCTGCTTGTCTTCCAGAGCCCAGATTTTACATTGCCCACCCTGGCTCTCTGGTTTCCTGTCCTCTTGTCTCCCTCCCTTTTTCTCTGATGAGGGTTTGATGTGCTGCCCGGGCTCTGAGCTGGTCCTCCAGTGTGCACCTCCACACCTGGCTTGTTTCCTTTCTGCTAGTCTCCCTCTAACTAGCATGCGTCTTGGAAAATGGTTCAGTTATTGTGGTTATGTTTCCTTTTCAACCCCATAGAGACCAGTTACATTGTCCATATGCTAGATAGTTGTGATTTAGTTTTTAACATTAAAACATAGCCTCTTAAGCTGGGTTTGGTGGGAGCTGGGTTTGGTGGAAGCTGGGTTTGGTGGGAGCTGGGTTTGGTGGAAGCTGGGTTTGGTATCACATGCCTTTAATCCCAGTGTAATGATACTAGAGGCCTCGGCAGGTTGGGCCAAGGTGCCTCGGTAGGTGAGGGAGACAGGCCATGCAGCTGGGGTGACAGGTGGTGTGGCAAAAGTCACTCATACCATGCAGACACAGCATCCACGTGGAGAGTTTATTATAATAGAGAGGTACAGAGAAAGAGAGGGAAAGAGAGAAAGCAGAGGTGTGCACACCTCGTGGCCAGAAAAGGAGGAAGGGGGAGAAGAAGAAGGGAGATGTTTTCTTTAAAGGAGGCTTTATGTCAGGACGCAGGGCAGGTCCCCAAGGGGCAGGCCAGAATGCCAACACCCAGCACTTGGGAGGCAGAAGCAGGCGGATCTGTGAGTTCCAGACCAGCCACAGCTATACCCTAAATTTTGCCTCCACGGCAAAAATTTTGTAATAGTGGTAATATTGTAAAACTGATATAACACAGTATGTTCTCAGTGTAAACGTTCACCTTTTCTAGCCCCAGTAATAAATGTGTTAACTGAAGAACAGCTAGGTTTGTCTGTTTTGGCAAACCATACCTGACCCGAGAGATGTTGTCCCCTAAGTGAGTGCTTTATCTGACTGGGATAGAGGCTCTTGCTTTTCCTCTGTCCTTCTTTGAGCCTTGTTTTGTTTGTTTGTTTGTTTTTTCCAGACAGGGTTTCTCTGTGTAGTTTTGGTGCCTGTCCTGGAACTCACTTGGTAGCCCAGGCTGGCCTCGAACTCACAGAGATCCGCCTGGCTCTGCCTCCCGAGTGCTGGGATTAAAGGCGTGCGCCACCACTGCCCGTCTTATTTATTTGTCTTTTAAGTAAAGAACTACAGATGTTTTTATTTGCAGATGACAATAACCTGCATGTAAAAGACCACAAAGACTACACCAGAATACTCTTGAAGATGTGATTTCAGAAAGCCACAGAATATATAATCAGCATACAGAAATCAACATCTGTTTTATAGTGCCGGCTAAGAAAAAACAATAACATTCACAACATGTACATTAAAATAAAATAAACACAAAACTAGCCAGCCAAAAAACCAAATGTGTAACAGAACATGGTAACCTCTTGTCGTGCTTTTCCTCTGGGTCTCCCCTAATCCTCTTCCCGTTATTATCTTATTTAAACAGAGTCAACATGGCCGGAGCCGAGGAAGCGGTCGACGGCGGTGGTGACAAGCGTCCTCCCTTTGCTGGTGGGAAGTCTGTGCTGTGCTTCGGGCAGGTGACTAGTTGCTTCATCCGTCTCGAAGGAGATTAAATGAGGAAAGCTGGGATGAAATGATACTGTCGTCCCGGGTGGGGTGCTCATTGTGTGCCTTTCTCCCTTCCAGTCAGTAGCCCACCATCTTTTTGTGGTTTCGAGACAGGGTTTCTCTGTGTAGTTTTGGTGCCTGTCCTGGAACTCACTCTGTAGTCCAGGCTGGCCTCGAACTCACTCTGCCTCCCGAGTGCTGGGATTAAAGGCGTGGGCCGCTGCCGCCGCCACCATCCGGCGGTATTTCACCATCTTTGCTGTTTTGTGTTGTAGCACTGAGGATTGAACTTGGAGCTCTACCACTGAGCTGTCCTATCCCCAGTGTGGTGTAGTACTTTATCATTTTGTTCCAAGGTCTTTAGTAACTAAGTCATTTGTGAACTTGGCAGGAAAGACTAATAGTAGGCCAGAGAGGTGGCGGCAGGGCACCTGTCGCCGAGCCTGGCGAGTGAGATCGATCCCTGGGATCCACACGGAGGACGGAGAACTGACTCCTGCAGCTGTCCTCAGAGCCCACGGGCACACTGTGCTACTGTGTACTTACGTGTACAATTTTAGAAATGGAATACAAATGTAAAAAGTCAGTACAAGGGATTCATATGCTATAAAATGTTACCCCACTTGGCTATACCGTGTAGAGTGTAGTACATGCCCGTGAAGCCTCTCTCTGTGTAGACACTGCATGCAAGAATCTGGCTTTGTCTTCCCAAAGGAAACAGTACAAGGGAACAAACCCCAAAGAGCAACCATCATGTATTTGTCTACTGTGGGATGCTCATTGTAAGAGCTCTGTGTTCCTTCTGCTAGCTTCTGGAGTGTGAATTTCAGGCTCTGAAGGGGGAAGTTGGGTTTCTTGTCTCCACTTCAGAGGGCTGGAGCTCCCTCAGTGGGAGAGGTTGCTTATTAGCTGGGTGAGGCCTTGGGTTCTGTCCCTAGCTCCACAAAGCAAAAACAAAACCCAATTTTGCTTGAAAAGTTTAAGAAGGATAGCAGCAATACTTTAAAGCAATATTTTTATATTAATTTTTTGTTTTTGGCTTTTGAGACAGGGTCTCTCTACACAGCCCTGTCTTAGAACTCACTGTGTAGACCTGGCTGGTCTCAAACTCACAGAGATCCACCTGCCTCTGCCTCCCAAGTACTAAGATTAAAAGGGTGTGCCACCACCACCAGCTTAATTTTTTTTAATTCTTACAATGTATTTTGATCATGTATTCTTCCAACTCCTCCCTACCCACCCAACTTCATGCTTTTTCTCTCTGTCTCAAAACAAAACAAAACAAAACAAATCCCTCCAAACAGGAAAAAACAAAACAACCCCAAAATTAAAACAAACAAACAAAACCCCAGTAAGACAAAAAAAAAAAATGCCAAAAAAAAAAAAAAAAACAACTCAAAAAACCAAACAACAAACCAACTCAAGAGGCCACAAATAACCCCGCGGAGCTCCTTTTCTCTTGGTCAACTGCTCCTGAGCGTGGGGCCTGCCCCAGTGTCTGGTTGGAGAAAGCTGGTCCTCCCCACCCCGCAGCTATCAGCTGCAAATAGCACTTGGCTAGGGGTAGGAGTTGTACCCACGTCCCATCTCATGCTGGGGTTTGTGTGGCCTGAGCCTGTGCAGGTCTGGTGTGTGTGCTACAGTCTCTGTGGGTTTATGTCTGCATCAGTCACGTGTCTTGGAGTCACCTCCAGTCCTTACATTCTTTCTGCCTCTACTGCATAATCCCTGAGCCTTGGGGTGTGGGGGGTGGGGTGGGGGTTAATGGAGACATCCCATCTAGGGCTGAGGACGCCAGAGTACTCTTCTTTCTGCACACTGTCTAGTTGTGTGTCTCTGGTGAGGGTTGAGTGAGGCACGGATTTAGGGTACAGCAGCATGTCATTAGGAGTCATCTGACTGCTATGTTCCTTTGCAGAGTAATAGTAGTAGGTTTTCTCCTAGGCCCATGACCTATCCAGTCTCAGGTTCATGGCCATTTAAAAGCATCCCTCCCACCCCCACCCCCAGACAGGGTTTCTTTGTGTAGCTCTGGCTGTCCTGGAACTTGCTCTGTAGACCAGGCTGGCCTCGAACTCACAGAGTTCCATCTGCCTTTTCCTCTTGAGTGCTGGGATTAAAGGTGTGCGCCATCACCACCCAGCTTAAAGCAATTTTTAATGAGTGCATAAAGTTATGCTTTTTTATAGGCTACCATGCAATGCTTTGATACATGTATGCATGATATGTGTAAAACTTTCCCCTGGGCTGAGATGGAACCTAGAGCCTCAGGCCTGCTGGGCAGGTGCTCTCATCTACAGTTGGCTCTACTCAGTATTCAAGAGTGTGGAGAGGTGCTGCGTCTGAAAATTGAAGGAGGGATTGACTGTGGGAGGAACGGCGCAGATATTGACTAGATTTCCCTTATGGATTGTAGAACCAGTACACAGCAGAAGAGTACCAGGCTATCCAGAGGGCTCTGAGGCAGAGGCTGGGCCCAGAGTACATCAGCAGCCGCATGGCTGGAGGAGGCCAGAAGGTAAGCTGAGTCTTGGGCACGTATCTAGCAGTCAGCATAGAAATCCTGCCTTTTGGTTTTACTAGAGTCCATGGATTCAGAGGTCCTTTTTCCCTGATACTAGATACTTCCCAGTGCCTCTGGAAGGAGTGGGTCCAAGACTTCTCTGTCATCTGCATTGTTTTGAGATGGCTGTAAATTCCATGTTGAGATATTTACGTCATCTTTAAAAATGTGCCCTTTACCACTTGCTTCTAATTTCACTTCATTCACTCATTAACTCATTCATTTATTTGTTTATTTAGGTTTTTCAAGACAGGGTTTCTCTGTGTAGCTTTGCGCCTTTCCTGGAACTCGCTCTGTAGACCAGGCTGGCCTCGAATTCACAGAGATCCGCCTGCCTCTGCCTCCCGAGTGCTAGGATTAAAGGCGTGTGCCACCACTGCCTGGCCTTAATAGCTTTTTCTTGAAAATTTATTTTCTAGGTGTGTTATATTGAAGGTCACCGGGTAATTAACCTGGCCAATGAGATGTTTGGTTACAATGGCTGGGCGCACTCCATCACCCAGCAGAATGTGGGTATGTTCTCTGTGTGTGCTGACCGCTCTATGTTCCTTATTTCATAACTGTTTTATTCCTGCTTCAGGAGTTTAGTGAGTCAGGATATGGGTAGGTGGGTTGGATTGCCAGCCAAAAAAAGTGGGTAAGGTGCAGGATCAGTATCTTTCCAACTGGTTCTCTTTCCCATTCCTAGATTTTGTTGATCTCAACAATGGCAAATTCTACGTGGGAGTCTGTGCATTTGTAAGGGTGCAGTTAAAGGTGAGGGGTGAGGTGCCACTGCTGCCTGGGAGGACCGAGGAGACAGTGTGAGCAGGGAGGGAGTCTTGAGTGTAGACTTGGACTGTGCCCCCGCTAGGGTGCCTAGGATGGCAGTATTCAAATATCCTTCTCTCCTGCCCCTCAAAAGCATGTTGAAAGGATGTGTCTTCCTCATTTTAAGCTGATACACAGAAGTTTGACCACATAAATACAAAAGGAGTGTGTGTGTGTTTATGTGTGTGTGTGTGTGTGTAAGTGTGTAACTTGACAGTCAAAAATCTTTTTATAATGTAACAAAAACGTAAGTGCCATAGGGGATTAAATGCCATCATTTATTTGAACCAGTGCTGTGTCCAATACCCTTTACCTCAGTTTAGATCAGTGGTTCTTACTCTGTGGGTATTATTGCCCCCTTTTACAGGGGGCACCTAAGACAAGCTGCATACCAGATTAATTCACAACAGTAGCAAAATCACAATTATGAGGTAGCAACGAAATAATGTTATGGTTGGGGGTCACCACAATGTGAGGACCTGTATTAAAGGGCCGCAGCATTAGGAAGGTTGAGAACCACTGCTCTAGACATCTCATCATGTAGGCCCCTGGGTGCCTGAGGCTGTCTTCCTTCCTCTGCCTCTGCATGCTGAGGTGACAGGCATGTGCTCCCACTAGCTTTAGAAAAATCTCAGTATGTAGCCTAGGTTATGCTTACACTGACTGGCCTCTTGCTATCTGGGTCCTGGGATTACAGGACTGTGCTACCATGTCCTGCTAAGCTGCACTTTTCTCAGAAATTTCATTGTCCTTTTTTGTCTGAACTCACATCTCCTGCTGCTTTTGTCCTAATATATTTATGACTGAAGTTTCATTTATAACTCCATTGTACTTATACACCTGTATGTTTGTGTGTGTGTGTGTGTGTTGTTTTTTGTCAATTTCTATTGACCCTACAGCTTTAAATATTAAAGATTCAGCACTGACCACAGGCATGTTTCCAGGCAGATCTGCTCCAGACAGCACTTCTAGAAACTGCTGTCTTAAGTTCTGTGCTGTGTCCTCTTCAGCAGGGTCCTGGCTCCACAGCCTGAGGGTGGGCTGGGGGGTGGTGGTGGTTTTTCTTTTTTTTAAGTGCTGTTGCTCAGGGAAGAGGACTACAGCTTCCATGTTAGAGCTCCAACAACATCCCTTTCTACCTCAGGATGGTTCCTATCATGAGGACGTGGGTTATGGAGTTAGTGAGGGCCTCAGGTCAAAGGCCTTGTCCCTGGAGAAGGCCCGGAAGGAGGCTGTGACTGATGGGCTGAAACGGGCACTCAGGTACGAAAGGAGCTGGGGTCCAGCCAACTGGTTTCAGTTCAGATTTCAGAGGAAGTGGCCCATTCCCTTGGGTCAGAAATCTAAATAACATGAAAAGATAAGTCTCATTTTACCCTGGTCCCACAATTCCACGCTGCATTTGTACTTTCCAGTGAACACATGGCTGAATGCAGACTACACTGTTCTCAGTGTCTCCCTCCCTCCCTGGAAGGGCCCAGAGGTGCTGACAGCCTTTCAGTTCTCACAGCAAATGTCCAAATATACCAACTCAGAGAGCTTTAGGTTGCCTGAGCTCAGAGGGTGCAGTCAGGATTGACTGCCCTTATTGCCGTGGGTCTGGGGCAAGGGCGTGCATCATGGCGGAGAAGTTAAACAAACAAACAAACAGAAAACGAACCCAGTGATCTGTAGTCTTAGAGGGCAAGTCCCAGTGACCTATAACCTCCCACTGGCCGCCAGCTCCTATCCTGTCAGTTCTGTCCCATTCTCCAGAGGGCTGGCTTGTAGCAGGTGAGTTTTCGGGGGAGGGCTTCGTAGCACTCGAGCTCCCCTTAGAGATTTGGGTCAGGTCACTCCTGTGCTCTCAGAAGCTAGTAGGATGCAGGAATGGGACATGTGCCATTGCCACTCACTGAAGGAAGACTGGGGTCCATGTCCTCCTGTAGCTGCGGCTTTGGATGCTGTGGCTGTGAACTCTTCGGCTTTTTTGTCACTGTAGGAGTTTTGGGAACGCACTTGGAAACTGCATTCTGGACAAAGACTACCTGAGGTCACTAAATAAGCTTCCACGACAGGTATGTTAATAGTTGGAGTGGGGTACCACAGCCTGCAGCTTCTCAGGTATGTCCTTGAGTGTAGCAGCAGGAGAAGTGAGGGCTTGGCGTTTGGCAGCGTCTAGAATGGTTATCTCAGATCTGGAAGGTTAATGCTATGCTAGCAGATGTGACCTGGCCAGGTTTACAGTTCCCCTCATGTGCCAGAGAGCCATGCTGGGAGTGGTCCCCTCAGAACCAGTGCAGAGCTTTCTCACATTGTCGCTAGTCCCTATACATGTTCAGACTAGCTGTCTTTCTGCCCTTAGCTCTGGTGGCTGTGTGGTGCGCACCTCTACTCTGTCCCTGTCACTACCATCTATGGGATCTTAGCACCAGCCTCAGGAGTGTGCTGTGCAGGAGACGTGACTAGAGTCGCGTCAGCTGGGGTTGAGTTGGTGTCTCCCTGGTAGACTCGTTGCATTCTGTCTCCTTGAGAGCCTTGTCAGGTGCTGTCCTGTTCTCTCAGCACAGACCCCAGTGCAATGTCAGTTGGCTTCTGACAAGACTCCATACCTGCTCTGTGTGTGTGTGTGTGTGTGTGTGTGTGTGTGTGTGTGTGTGTGTAGTCTCCTGGAAGCATACACTGTGCTTACCTGTCCACCTCTTGGCTGTGGATTGCTGCTGTGGACATGGATGTGTACATTTTTCGAAGAAGCAGCGTCTCCATTTTTGTGGTAGGTGGAGACCTACAAGTATGAGTGCTGGCTAGTGTGTCTCCCATTTTGTTTCCTTGGAGAACTCTCCAGACTGATGCTCAGGGCAGTTCCCACTGTTCAGCCCTGCTCTTCTGCCATTCTTGTAGAGTCCATGTGCCCCTGACATCAACCTTGGCTTTCAAAAGCTCCTTAGCCATTTGGGAGTCATTTTTGGAGCGGGTGAAGTCCATTGCCATTTTTAATGGGTTATTTGGTATTTTTGCTGTTGAGTTATAGTAGTTCTTAAAATATTCTATTTTTTGGTTTTTTGAGATGATGTTTCTCTGTATATCCCTGGCTGTCCTGGAACTTGCTCTCTAGACCAGGTTGGCCTCAAACTCAGCTCTGCCTGCCTCTGCCTCCCAAGTGCTGGGCTTATGCTACCACTGCCTAGTGCTTTTGATGTCTTTTTTTTTTTCTTTCTTTCTTTCTTTTTTTTTTTTAATGATTTTTTATTTCATGTACATTGGAATTTTGTCTATATGAGGCTGTTGCATCTGTTGGAACTAGAGTTACAGACAGTTGTGAGCTACCATGTAGTTGCTGGGAATTGAACCCAGGACCTCAGGAAGAGCAGCCAGTGCTCCTAACCCCTGAGCCATCTCTCCAGCCCCACTTTTGGTGTCTTATCAAGAAATCATCACCATATCCAGCACTGTGAATCATTTTCTCTGGGTTTGGAGTCCTACACTTGGGACTTTAGTTCATGTTGAGCTGGTTCTTATGAAAAGTGTAGGATGTTTATCAACTCTCCTCCCTTGGCCTGGGGAGCTCAGCTTTCTCAGCAGTGTTAACTGCCCTTTCCCCAGGTGAGTGTACATGTTCATGTGTCTGTATGCATGTGCTTATGGAGGCCAGAGGTGGATGCTGGCTGTCTTTCTCAGTTGCTCCACCTTCTGTTTTGAGACAGGGTCTCTCACTTGAGCCTGAAGCTCATTAGTTAGGCTACACTGGTTGGCCACTGAGCCCCAGGCATCCTTCAGGATTGGGATTACAGGCATTTGTTGCCCTCCCAGCTTTTATATGGGTGCTGAGGATCAAACTCAGGTCCTTGTAGGTGTCATATAGTGGGATATGGTTTTTGTAATCCATCTGTTGAATCTTTTGTCTTCTTAAAATTTTTATTATTTTTAGTTGTGTGTGTGCATGTGTGTGCGTGCGCGCGCACACACACACATGCACACGCACACACACATATAAATGCAGGTGCCCATGGCGAACAAAGGAACTGGATTTCCCTTGAGCTGGAGTTACAGGCCTCTGAAAGAGCAGCATGTGCTTAGCCATCTCATTAACTCCCAATCTGTGGGTTTGTTTTTTTTTTTCAAAATAAGATTTAATCCATTTACATTTAAAATAATTACTGATAGGATGGTTACTACTTGCATTTTGCAGATTTTCTGCATATTTTTGTTCTTGGTAGTTTCCATTGCAGTTGCATAAACCATCTTTTTTTTTTTCCCCCGGAGACAGGATTTCTCTGTGATACAGTTCTGGCTGTCTTGGATCTCACTCTGTAGACCAGGTTGGCCTCGAACTCAGAGATCTGCCTGTCTCTGCCTCCTGAGTGCTGGGATTAAAGGCGTGGGACACCATCTCCTGGCACATTCAAATTTTCTACCTCTTCATTCTCTTACCAGCTCCCTCTTGAAGTGGATTTAACTAAAGCAAAGAGAGAAGATTTTGAACCATCTGTGGAACAGGCAAGATACAACAGCTGCCGACAGAAGGAAGCACCGGGACCCCCAAAAGCACAAGAAGCAACTTCCCCTTGCAGACCAAGCCACCCACGCGATTCAGACATTAGGCTGCAGGGGGCTAAGGACTGCAGCAGCAGCTCCTGGTACTGGACTCAGGTTCCCTCCCTTTCCTCTTCTGCTCCTTCTAGTGTGGCCTTGGTCGCTTCCACTCCTGCCTCTAAGACCAGCAGTGGTTGGTTGTGTGCTTCCTCAAGCCAGGTCCATTGTGGTTACCTTGGTTTGCAGCAGCAGTCTGGCCGCCACCGTGGAGAGTGATGCTGTTCACCAGCGGAAGCTCCGGAAGCTCCGGCAGAAGCAGCTGCAGCAGCAGTTCCGGCAGCAGATGGGGGTGCCCCTGAAGGGCCACACACCTGCCGCAGAGGTGGAAGCTGAGTGTCAGGGTGTGTGAGGGGGAGACTGTGACTCTTTCCAGGCCGTGCCTCGCTAGGGCTTCTCTAAGTTCCATGTAGGACAGATGACCCCATGGAATCAGGATGGTAAAGTCTGCCCTGCCCCTTCCCAGTTCCAAAGATAAGGGCTGTTTAGGGAAGTCAGCGGGCCATGATCGACATGTTATGTCTGCAGCACCTGGGAGGCCGAGGCAGGCCTGGACTACATAGTGAGACCACCACCCTCCCCATCTTCTGGAATTTGAAATTTTGAGTAAAGAATCACTTTGTTTGTCTCTGCATTAAGAAACTTGACTCTTGGATAGCTTTTGATTCTAAGACAAAGCTGGGGGATAACTGGAGCTTTTGGCAGATTTTTTTACCCAGGAGTTTAAATTAACCGGAGTTTTGGTTTCACAGAATTAGATGTTTCTGATGTTGTGCAGACATTTGTTAAGGACTTTCCCGGTCCAGGGAGCATTTGCCCATTTTCTCTGTATAGTGAAGGTGCAGGAGACAGATTATATGCTGGGTTTATTTTCACCCCTCAGCACAATACCAACATTAATGTAGGAAAAAACAAACCAAAACATATTCACCATTCTGGGCACATCCTGAGTAATGAGTTGGCCTAAAAGTTTGGCTTCTGGCCATGCCAGGAGCTTGAAGGGCAAGGATGGAATCCAGGATGTACTGCCCTGTCCCAGAACCACTGGGCTGCAAGGCTCCTACCAACTCTAGGGGCCTTTGCTGTTGACGGGGAAATGGGTTAGGGCTGTTGCTCAGGCAGAGTGCTCGCCCAGTGTCTGAGTTCCATCCCCAGATCTGGTGTGGTGGTGGCACACTGCTGTTATCCCAGGAGGATCAGATACTCACGGTCGTCTTGGTTGTATAGGGAATTCAAGGCCTGCCTGGGCTACATGAGAGACCCTGTCTCCCACAGACTAAACAAAGAAAACACACGTGGTTCTCCCCCACTCTAGTGAGACATAGACGACATACAGAGTTAGAGGTAGGCCTGGGAGTCAGGGACCTGAACCCTAAAGGTGTGCTCTGGGCAAGAGAAGAATAGACTTAACCCCAGAATTGGCAAGTTACGTGACCTCTGGCTTGTCCTGTCTCCTGTGCAAACTAGCTGTGCTTCCAGCCCCTCCTCCGGAACACAGTACCCCCCAAACTGCTACCTCAGTACTCCTCAGGGAGAGAGCCGCCTGCCCAGGTAAGTGACGTGAGAATTAATCAGTAAATACTTAGGGGAGTATGTGTAATTTACTGTGCCGTGTACCTTTTGGCAAATACAGTTCATGTTCTCCTGGGAGGGTCGGGTGCAGTACTGGGATTGAACCTATGCCTCTGCAACCCTAGGAAGGTGCTCACCCTTGAGCTATATCCCCAGCTCATAGATTTCATCTTGTAATCAGTTCTCTCCTACCATGCGGGTCCTGGGTCTTGAACTCAGGTTGTTAGATTTGGTGGCAAGTGACTTTACCTGACTAGCCATCTTTCTGGCCCTCATCTGATTTTTAGTGATGTAGAGTTTTATAAAAATGGAAAGAGGTCCCCAAATTGACTAATGGGGGCTCTGATACATGTTCCTCTACTCTCCAACCAAAAGAAAAATTCAGGGTATTTGTTGGAATGAAGAACATTTGCAAATTTATCAGAAGGAACTCAAAAGCATGATTTTTTTTTCTTTTTCTTTTTTAACCCTGAGACAGGGTCTTACTGTCTGTTGTGGAACTGTCCATTTTCCCGCGCACTGCTGGCTGCCATGTGCACCATCACACCTGTCAAACCATGGAAGCTGTTGTAAACAATGCTGTGGTTCTCTTCTGTAGCTAACCCTGAAGACAACCTAGAAATGTGGGACCTGACTCCAGATTTAGAGGACATCATTAAGCCCTTGTCTAGACCAGAACCACCCCAAACCTCTGCCACCGGAACCCTCAACAACCAGGAGGTGATCCAGGATGGTGTCCTTTGCCACCAGATGCCACCAGAAAAACCTGAAGCCGGGCACCTGCAGACCTGCAGCACTCACCAGCATGTACTAGGTAGCAGAGATGTGTGAAGAACAAAAATTATGGGTTTGTTTAATTCTATAAAATTTGAAGCAAGGGTGCTAGTTCAGTTTAAGAAGTTAAATTAGGGGGACTGGAAAGATGGCTCAGCAGTTAGTTACCAGTGCATACTACGCTTGCAAAGGACCTGGATTTAGCTCCCAGCACACATGTATTGGCTCACAACGGTCTACAACTCCAGTTCCAAGGGGGATTGGATACCCCCTTTCTGGACTGTGGACATCAGACATGCAAGTGGTGCATACACATACATGCAGGCAATACACCCACCAAAAAAAAAAATTGTTGGGATAAATGGGACATGGTGGCAACATGCCTGTAGTCCCAGCATTCAGGAGGCTGAGGCAAGAGAATTTCTGTGAGGTATAGATGAATTCCATGGGCTAGATATTTAGCTCAATGGTAGAACCCTTGCCTAGTGTGTTGTAAGACCCTAGGTTCAGTCAGGCCAGTTAGGACTACATACTAAGATCCTGTATCAAGCTGGTTGGTGGCGGCGCACGCCTTTAGTCACCAGCAGTTGAGGGGCAGAGCCAGGAGGATCTCCATGAGTTGAAGGCTAGCCTGGTCTACAGAGCGAGATCCAAGACAGGCACCAAAACTACACAGAGAAACCCTGTCTTGAAAAAAACCAAAAGAAAAAAAAAATCCTGTATCAAAAAGAAAAAGGAAAAGCTGGATGGAATCCTGAGGCAGCGAGCAGTGCAGAAGAGAGTATTTGAGCTTTCAGATCTTGATTTTATCTACTCTTTAGATCTAGAATGAGTTGTGTCCAACCTGAGACTCGGGGATAGCTATGAATGTAGTCTGATACAAAGTTACAAACTTACTTAAAACATTCTTTTTTTGTAACTTGATTGAATGGCTCTTGAGCTCTGAACTTTGACTATAGTGCTTTATGTCACAGTGTTGGTTGGGCACACTTGTAGGAAGCAAAGGCCTGACTGTACCTAGAGGTCTGTCATGAGAACGATACCCAGTGGTCACTCATTCTGTGTGTTGTCTGAATGAGGGTTGCTAGCCAGTCCAGTCCAGTGGTGATCAGCTGTTGAGTCAAGGCTGCTGCATTTTAACCATCTGTCTTTCACAGGACACTCTGACTCTCATAGGAAGAGCCAGGACCTGAAGAAAAGGAAACTTGATCCATCCTGAAGCTGGATTCTGTCATGAGAAGTTTGGAAAACTGCAGTTTTATACCTTGGTTTATTCTGAACTCATTAGAGGACTTTAGAGCATATTAATGGAGTACTTTAAAGAGGTTGTCATGCCATACCCTGTGATGGGAGGGAGGCCAACAGATAAGATGCCTTTCCTTTGGCTCTGCAAGTTTTTCAGAACTATTCACTCCCAAATTACTGTATCAAGAGATTTTTAGTTTTCAGGCTGCCTTCTGTTGTTTAGTGATACAGCCCATCTAAGCACCAGCTTGATCGTCACCTACATTCAATTAATTATATGTGAGCTCATCTTTCCTTTGGCTTTGGGTTGTTAATGTTTTCCACTAAGTGCTAACCAGTAAGGCCATGGCGGTGGTTCAGGATCACACGTGGATTCATTCATGTCAACAGAAGCCTTCCTTTATCCAGATAGAAGTGCCAAGACGTACAGTGGGTGCTTAAGTATGATTTAGGTCTTCTCCGTTCTCAGCACTTACCATGTCCTGTGGTTGTATGTAGTTTGTATGCAGCAGGGAGGCCAGCGCGAATTCTTTTCAACTTTACATGATTAAATTTTAATAAAGACTACATCTCAACAGTTGTAGCCTTTTTTGGTGGGGGTAGGGTTGGGGGGTTTCAATGTGTAACAGCCTGGCTGTCCTGGAACTCACTTTGTAGACCAGGCTGGCCCCAAACACAACAGAGATCCACTAGTGCTGGGATTAAGGCATGCGCTGCCGCCTCCCCCACCCTCCCATTAGTGCATTTCCGAGCCATCAAGTAAATTAACATTTGAACACTAATACTGACAGAACTGTGGAACTTTACAACTGAGATTAGTGGTAGATAGGCCTCTTTCATGGCTGTACTTGGCAAAGGCAAAACTTAAATCTACGGTGGGATTCTTATTACACTACATGGGACAGTGCACAATTTTAAATGATTGTTTTCTTCTGGCTGAAATCTTTGCATGAAAACATGGATTGTGGGAGGAGCTACTGCATAATTTCTCATTTAAAGAAAGATTATGTCATAATCCAAGTCTGAAGACCAGTATTTTTTCCCCAAGCAATGAAAAGGATGATCTAAGGAATAGCTGTTTTGTTCATTTTACTTTGTGTTTTCCCTGCATGTATGCACATGTATTTGTAGTATCCACGGAGAGTAGAAGAGGGTGTTAGATTCCCTGGAACTGGTATTACTGATGGTTGTGAGCCGCCATGTGGGTGCTGGGAATTGAACTTGGGTCCTTTGCAAAGGCAGTACACTCTTAACTGCTGAGCCCTCTCTCCAGCCCCAGGAATAGTTTTTTTGTTTTTTTTTAAAGGAAGCAACTACTCTTAACTGTACCACCCCCAGCAATTTTGAATTTGGGGTTTTGATGTGCCTAATCCTTAAAAAAAAAATTCTTTAATTACATTTATATTTATTGTGTATGAAGGAATTGGTGCTCTTGTCACATCCTGTGGGTCCTAGGGATCAAGCACAGACCATCAGGTTTGGTGGGAAGTATCTAATATTGGAGCAGGGACAGACCTATCTGTGGGCAGCTGAGACCTAACTCAAACGCTTACAGAAGTGTTGACTGACAGCAGTTTGCTATATGCCACCAAGCTTTCACTTTCATTCTTAATGGATGGCTTTATTGTAGTTTAGGATAAAACTACTGCTAAAAGTTCCCAAGGAACAACAATTGTACAAAATTCAAAATAGGGCCCTGGAGAACACAAGGCATCCTTGGCTAGAAATGATACCCCACAGCTCAACAAAAGCAAGTTTGGTTTATTTGAATGGTTTCATTAAATAAGTCTACAAAGGTAACAAACTGAAGCACAAAGCGCAATCTTACAAGAAGCGCAACACCCAGAGTTAGTGCAAATGTACAGTTAACGGCTGCTGAGAAACCCCAAGGTTTGAATTCAGTTTTCAACAGTACATTGTTAAATAACGTAAGGAAAACACTTATAATTCAGAAAGTTCTTTTTAAATGTGGATAAAAGATACTCAAAGTGTACTATTAACACAAAAATAATTTAAACAGTTCAGTAGCACTAGCTCGTTCCTCTAGGCTTCAGTTATTTCATCCACAGGAGGGCAAAAAAAAAAAAAATCAGTAAATAAACTTTTGTGAATGGGGGAAAAGACCTCAAAATGACTAAAACCAAAACCAACAACACATGCTGCATCTGGCTCCCTCTACCACGGTACAAAGTACTCTCAATCCATCCTACAACCAGTTTCGTTTTCACAGCACCTCTTAACCCTCTCCCAAAAGGAATAAATGAGCCAACACTTTGGTAGCAGGACCTGAAACAAAACCATACTCTTCCCACCTCCCTCTCCTAAAACTTTCAGCTGTCATGTGTATCTTTTGGCCTAGATCGACTTAAAAGGAACGGACTCTTAAAGGAAGAAAGGTGCAGGAAGCCAGGCCCTGCCTAGTGTGTAACTCCTGGGATGTGTCATGAGGTTGGAAATGTGTCAGTTCCCAACTCAAGGTCAAGGAGGAAGCACCCAAGAAATGAGGACTTCTACTTCTCCCTCCACTTTCTCAGAGTATTCAGATCCCAAACAGCCAATTAAGTCAGTATTGACAGAAAACTGCCCATTAAAACTAGGCATAGCACTAGATAATACTGGTTGGTTGCAGTTACTTGGGGATATGGGTCTAAAAATGTGAGAGTATTAGTTCTAATATAGAAGTACAGGTGGCACATAGATTGAGACTGTGCGACCATTTGGACATTGTAGAAGAAAGGGGTCAGAAGTGGGTCTGTTTTCCACAATACAGTACGTCAAGTGGAGAAATGTGTGGTACATGTACGAGAGGTGAGGGCAACCAAGCAGGTTTCCGTAGAGCAACCTTTTCCATCTTTGACTTGGCACTGTCATCCTTCCCAACTCAGAATCTAGCCCACTCCCGTCTCATTTTTGTTGAATTTCTTCTAGGTTTTGTTTGTTCACTGGCCGGGCATCACTTCTAACAAGCTTGTCCCCACGTCTCCAGTCCTCATCCTTCACACGGCTCACAACCCCCTTACTCTTTCTGAAACAGAACTTTGTTTTCAACCTCTGATGCCAACTTCTCACTGTGCTCATCTCACACCTGCTCTAGGCAAAACTGCTGAACGATTGAAACAAAACAAAACAAAACAACAACAAAAAACCCACTTTCATTTTCCCTTTGGCATATCCACTGCTGGGGTCATATGGACCTAAGATTTCTTTCCACATACCCTTTGGTGACCTGGGGTCTGGTAAGGTGATGCTAACAGCAGAAGCAATAGAAGTCCAAGGCACTAAAATATCCAGCAAGCAATACTGGGAGAACAGAAGTATTCAAGTACAGTAATTTATACAATTTTACATTCACATTTATTTATCTAATACAATGGAAATACAAAGGAAAAAGTTAAAGTGTCTTAATAAGTAAAGGACAGAGCTAGCTTTTTTTTGTGTGTGAACCTTTTAAACCTTTCAAATTTTACTCTTAAAACTAATGTTGTCCAACAACATTTATATATCACAGTGTTTCCACATCAAAACTGATGGCAAAGTTACATGTCCTCAGGGAACGTCATTGTTTTCCCTAATTGCTAATGCTGCAGTCAAAGCTGCTAATATCTTGCTTAAAGCATTAATGACCTATTCAAGAAAGGGTTGCAACCCCAGTCCCCTGATATTTTTCACTAAGTTGTAAAGGAAAAAAAGAAAGTGGGGGTAGGGATCAGAGTGGGCGAGAACCTTCTTGTTTTAAGGTGTGCATTCTTGTGGGAGTAAGGAATTCGGGGCAAATGTCAAAATTAAGAGCTCTACCCACTTACAGATACATACTGGGTTTAGCTTACATTGAGCTCTTGGGGCGTTCTGGTAACAAGGCTCTCTTCTAGCCCTAGGCCTTACTGGTGGGTACAGAAACAGGAAAGCAGACTCAGGCAGCCCCTCCACCAGAAAGCTGCTCTTTTCTTTTCCAACTCCAACAAATGGAGAGGGAGGGTGGTTCTCCATTCTAAGGGCTCAAAATGGTAATAAAAACATTCCCTTCTGGCAAGAAATAACCAGTTAAATGCAGCACTAGTAGTTAGTATATAGGCTACTTCCCCCACCCCCCCCAACCCCCAGCATTCCGTCTCCTGCCCCCAAATCTATGCAGTTAACATCTTCATGTCTGACTAAGTGGTCCGCAGGTTGGAACCTGGGGGGTTGCTGATGGACTTCTGCAAATTGCTGATGTTGAAATTCTGCAAGGAAGCAGTTCCTACAGGTTGGAACTGGCCAAGTGGCTGTGGTGCTGGACCACTTGTTCCACTCCACTGAGTGCCAAATGGGGCAGCTGGAAAACCATACTGCTGTGGAGGGCACATGGACTTGGTGAAGTGACCTAGAGAGGTAGCAGATGCTGCAGAGATGGGGGCTGAGCCACCCAGGTTTGAGGTCATGGAAATGCACAGCTGTCCAGGAGCAGAGAACTTCCTTGCCATTCCAGGGCCCTAAAAACAAGAAAGTAACAATGAGAATTTGGCGTAGGTATAATACCCAAACAAAATACGTGTGATACTGCAATGCTGTTCTAGAACTGAGATGTTCTAATCTTAGTGTTAGCAAAACATAACAAAGCCTCCTGCGATATTTATTGGCTCTATACTTAACAAGAAGTGAAAACTCAGGTCTGAGAGTGTGCATATGTGCCAGGTGTTATGTGTGTACACACAGGTAGTATAGGATGCTGAAAGAAAAGGGTACCAAAGTGATGCTGTCTTGTTTTCTCAATAATGTTAGAACCAATGGGTTGCTGAAGAAGGTGGTGATAAGGATGGCGTACCAGCCTTCGCAGTCCCTGACTCATCTGTGTGTTGGTAGTCTGGCAGGTTAGGAAAAGTAGACTTACCTCATAATTCATGTGTCCTTTGCTGCCTCTCCTGCCTGAAAGATTCATGGCATCTCGGGCCCAGTTGTCTACCAACTTGTGCAAGTCATCTGTGAATGTGCCCTTCCTACTGGAAGTCATGGCAGGTGGCTGAGCCTGGGCAGCCTGGCTACTCACTGTTCCCCCAACGGTGTTTGTGCTGCTGGTCCCTAGAATTGTAAGCAACACAATACTAGCATTAAAGGAATCTGGGATATAACTCTGGGAAAGGAGAAAATGTCATAGGATAATGAATGGCAAGCCACAGAATGGGGAGAATAATTGGGAAGCCATGCAGGATAGGAAGATTCCAAAGTTTTATTTATCCATTTGCTTTTGCATAACAGGTAATGAAAATGGTTTCTCTTCCATAGCTTGTAGGTAAGGCTCAACAACTTGGGATGATGGCAGGCATGGATAAGGGCTTCTGTCAAAGCAACCTGTAATACTGGGACTGTCTGCCAGTGCTCTATTCCCAGCACTACACTGATGAGTGAGTGATATGGTCCACAAGGCTGGTTGCTATGCAACTTTGTAGAAAGCAGGGCCAAAGAAGTACTGTGTGCTGGGTAAGTTACAAGTAGTACAAATGCAAAGATCAGTGCTTGCTGTGGAAAGATGGGGTTCCCAGACAGACCATGTGGATACTGTGGCATTCTTTATCCACTCTTAAACAAAAAGAAGTAACGAGACACAGCATGCTCTGTGTCTTGTTTTCACCTGAACCATAAATATAAATTTGTAAATATAAACTTGGAAGGAGTCAAGACCTCAACTTTTCTCAATGTCCCTTGAGTAAAGAACAGAGATTCGGCAGTGGGGGGAAGATGTGCCTGAATCTCTCAGGTCCAGGAAGTTTATAGTTTTCTTGAGGACTTGGGTTTTAATTGGTTCAAGGACTCTCATCCCTTCTCCCCATTCTTCCCAATAGAACAAGCACTCCTGGGTAGAAGCAACAGGAAAATGCAGCTGAGGCAGGGGTGCAGAGGGGAGAGGAGGCTTAGAGGTTATGATGAAGGAATTCTATTTCTATGGTTTGATGAAAAAGAAAGGAGTCTGTGTCCTGCCTGATTTCGGTTCAGCTGGAGGGCACACTGAAGGTTATTCGAAGAGGCAAGTTTTGGGGAAGAGGGAAAGAAGAGTCATGGTCTTATTTTTTGTTTTTTTATCTCCCACTTTATTAGCAGACTTCACATTTGCTACAGAGTAAATAAAGGTTACTAAAGTAGTGGGCCAGTAGGCCCTACCATACTCAAGGAACCCCGGGGCTAAGTGCATGCGTTTTCCTGCTTTCAATGCCAAAGCAGCACACCAGAGCACAGCAGCACATCTGAAGCACCCCTGCTTATTAGTGGCCCTTGCAACCCTGTTGGTGCCACAGGGTGTATCTATTTTACCACCTAAGGAGTAGCCCATGAAAGCATGTCTGTGCTAGAGGAGAGCTAACTCAGGTGAAGCTGCAGAGTGAGGATGCTCACATGCTTCTTCTGGTCACTGTGGCAAGACATGAATTACTGCAGTGTCACGTGGTATCTGCTAGGACTGCAGGGGATCATTACTATACACAGTGTAAACGTAGAGTAGATTCACCTCAGTGCAAGAAACCAAGTGTGAAAATAGTAAAGCAAAGGAAACAGCCTTCCTTGAGTAGCAAGTGTAGGACAAAGGTGCATTGGGAAGGAAGCACAGGCCATGAGGATGGGAAGTCACAACAGTGAGGAAACCCAGAAAGCGAGCATGTGGCATGCACGAGGACTAGCATCCTGCTGGATGACAATAGAAATATCCACAAGTGAGCAGAGCTGTTGATGCCAAATGAAAAGCCAAGTCAGGGTGCACTGCTTATCCAGAGACTCATGCCAAAAGTCACACTTCTCTAGTCTGGTGCTAGTTGCTCTTGATGCTGTGAGGGCCCTTAAAAACCAAATGCCATTCACTTTAGTCTACAATCCTCAACACTGGACTCTTAAAATGAGGGTTACCCTAAAAGGGAGAGTCACCCTACAGTTATCCTTTTTTATTGTAGTTCCCGACAGTAAAGGTGGATTAACAGGCTTTCTGCAGATTGTGCTAACAAACTTTTAAGTCTTTTCAGTCCTCTTGAAAGCTGTATAAAGTAGAATAGATTTTATTCCTCTAAATTCATGTTCTGAGTTTCTTCTATCCCTATACTGCCAGGTTATAAGCCACTATGAATCACACTGCCAAAGATGCCAAGCAGAGATTTTTCTTGTTACTCCCTAGACTCTTATAACATGCTTGGCATCTGCATTTTATTTTAATGAGAAACCCCTAGGCTAAAAAGCTAAGCTCTATAAACAAGTAGCATTCCTCTCCCCTGTAGCTGAGCACCAACTTCTGAGATATGAAGAATGAGGGCATGCCCTCTGTGTACACCTAGATCACTGTTGAGTCTCCAGTGTTGTTGAACAGTGGTGGGCACATGCTCACTGACTCAGAGTCTCTCTTCTGTACAGAATCTAGGCTTCCTCCATCTCCCCATTCATATCCATGGACGTCACAGATACAAGACTAACACACCTGGACTCACATGAGAGAACTGACTATGAAGTGGTTTCTCAATCTGGAAGTAGTAGTAATAAAATATAGCAATTAAGCACAATAAGGAATATTATCAGAAAAGGGTGCAGGGATGGATGAAAATTAGGAAATCAGGGAGTTACAAGGCTTCATAGTTTAAAGAACTCATGGCTTTGCAATCAGGATCAAAAGTAACAGAAAGAAGATAATTACTACAGAGCTGGTTGCAAGGACAGACTTTTTTCACCATCTTCCCTGAAGCACAAAGAGAGAGCAGTGTGTTAAAGAAACATCAGTGAAATCTTTATAGACTCTCCAAACAGCACACAGAAGCCCAGCAAGAGAAAGCAGGAGGGGACAGATGGGTGGGACCTGGTAGTCCTAGATATAGAGACAAGTCTAGGGATCAGTCTAACTGGCTGTGAGTGTTAACACAATTGTCAGATGGACTGTGAAGTCTGGATGACAGATGCTGAGCTTTTACACCTCATCTTTAGTTCTACAATGTAATGTGGTGTTAAGGTTCTGGAGGAGGAACAGGTCTCACTGCTTGAATTCCAAATACCCAAGCAGTACTTCCATTGACCTTGTCCTACTTCCTGTTTCTCCTGCTGGGTTGTTATAAAGCATTTAAATCAGTACCACTGTTACGATTTAAGTTAATTTAAACTGGTTGTTATATTTCCACACCCTAGATACACATACAAACACACACACACACACACACACTCACACACTCTCTCTTTTCCTTTTTCTCTCTCCATATACCCCATCCCTTCCAGAAACAATTTTAAAAGTATGTGGAAAACAAGCAACCTTTAAATACAGATAGAGCATTAAGCCAAGCCGTGCTTCCAAACTATTTTGAGAAGATAGGATAATGTATCCAAAACTAGTAAGGGCCCTCATCCTTCCAAGCACCTGTTCTTTCTATATATTTTGAAAAATTCTGCCTCCTACGATTTGTCCAGCAGTTTTGCATCATATATCCTTATGCACCTTCAACAGGTATAGGTCTTTCATTTAGACTCAAAGGGAAGTGGTAAGATTTACCACTTCTAATCATTCTCAAACAGATTAATACAGTCTATACTCAAGAGTATACTGTAAGTAAGACACAAAATTAACTCAAACGGTGCATATCAGACTTCACACAAAGAAATTCTGGTTTGCCTTCTTTTCAGACATATCAGGCTGTGTATCACAGGTCTGGGCAAATGTCACACTTTACTGCAAAATACCATCCTGTTATTAATGTCCTTCCATCTTTCTAGCTGGACATATAAATTAAATGTTTATTCAAGTGTGCTAACAACATGCATAGTCCAAGCTAGTCTAATCAGAAAAACTATTGGATGCATGCATGCTTGGAAACTACCAACATGGGCAATGTCTTCCAGCCACTCTTTGAAGAGCTCAGCCCTGGACCACTGACATGTGTGGGAATGTGGTAAAAGAAGGCTGTAAGTAGAACCAATCCATGACTAACATGTCAGTGAGGGAAACAGAGGTCAAACCTAATACACAAAGGTACAAGAGAAAAAAGCAAAGTGTGAATTCTTCCCACCATGAAGAGGCCAAAGGCTCCCTGAGCCACATACTTAGAAACACTGATGGCTTTAGCACATGCATTTAAAAAGCATCTTTCATAACCACACCAGAAGTTTGAGGCCTTAACTTAAGTTTGATCGTTATCCAAACTCTAATGAAGTTCTTTTTCTTACTTGAGTTTTTTTCTTTTTAAAATTTTTTCTTTCAATACACACCCATTGGCCACCTACTAATACCAGATAGGGTCTTGCTAACCACAGGGACTGAGAGTTTTCTAAGTACCAGCTGTTTTTGTGGACAATATCTTATTTAAATTGTACAATAGCCTTAGGAAGCAGGCAATGATTTCATTCCTTACAGGGAGAGGACAATACAGGGCAATTTGCTCCTGGGCTGTCACCTTCTTGGTAAAGATTTGCTTTTATTTTCATGCGTGTCTGCATGTATCTCTGTGCACCATGTGTGTGCAGTGTCCTGAGGCCAGAAGAGGGTGTTGGAAACTGAACGTGAGTCCAAAGGAAGAGCAGCAACTGTTGAGCTATCTCTCCAGGCCCACATGTACGTTTTGGTCTGTGTTCTTATGTGTGTAGGGACATGTGGAGGTCAGGACACCCCTTAGGTGTGGGTTTTCATGAGCCACCCACAGTGTTTTCAGAGAAAGGGTCTCTCATTGGCCTGGGGGTTGCTGACATCGTTAAGCTAATTTGCTCATGAGACCGGGTTCCTCCTTTCTTCAACTTTTCTAGTACTAGGATTACAAGTATAAGACAGCATGCCCAGTTTCTAATTTAAGTTCTAGGGATCAAATTCAGGCCCTTAATCTGCACGGCAAGCACTTTACTGAGCCATCTTTCTAGCTTCTGCACCCTGTTTTAAAACAGAAAGCGAAGAAGTTCTATTAATACTAAAATAACAAATTTCACTCGCAGGTTATATGGCTTTGGTCTTTCAAAGAATAAATGCGCTGGGCGGCCGCGTCGGTGGCGGCTCACACCTTTAATCCCAGCACTTAGGAGCCAGAAGCAAGCGGATCTCTGTGAGTTTGAGGCCAGCCTGGTCTACAGAGTAAGTTCTAGGACAGTCAGGACTACACAGAGAAACCCTGTCTTGAAAAACAAAAACAAAAAAATAAAAAGAAATGCTTTGTAAGACAGCTACAGTAATTGTTCTTTGAACTACTTAATCTCACGGAGTTGGTACGGAGGTGAAGAGATTTCCAGCATCTTTTCAACCTGCACATATTCAGGCTTAACTGAGAAGATTTCAACCCATATTCAAAAGAACGGAAAATGGTAAACTTTTACCTTCAGTCAGGATCATGCATCAGTGCTCAACATGCATTATTTTTTTAATTTTAATTTTGAGACAGGGACTTGCTATGTAGTCCATGATGGCTTCAAACTTATAATCTTTGCTTCTCCCTCCACATTATGGGAATCATGGGCACCACTACTCCTAATGTCAGGGCAGTGAGACAGCAATGAATATGATTGTGTACTGCAGTCTTAACATAGAGTCTAGCCTAGAATAGATCTAAAAGAGGTAATTCTACCTGGGAGTTATTTTGAAACCTACAAAAACCCACTCCTGTCTCTGCATCTTTTACTATAATTAACACAGGGACCCAAACTTCTGAGGGTAATGGTCAGCCAAGCCACTGAGTACATGAAATATAAGAGACAAATGAAAATGGACTGCGTGACAATCAGATCCAAAGCAGCAGAAAAACAAGGACAAGGAAGGAGTAAAGGTGTTACACACAAAGAGCCAAGCAGGGCGTACTCAGAAATCGGGTCCTCCTGCCACCAGGTTTGAATGTCACCTGCTCAGATGCACAGTTAAACTTCGCACAGCCTGTGAGAAGGGAAAAGGAAAGAACAGAGGAGAAGAGACCACACAACTACAGGATGTTAGAGCTTGAGGCTGGTGGTGACACACTGGATGGCATGTAGAAGAGGGAGCTCTGTAGGGAGTCCATCTGTTGTAGGAGACAGAGATGCCAGGCCTCACCCCATTGGCAGAAATGAAGCTTTTCTCAGTTGGAACAATGCTAACAACTTTGTGTTGTTTCTTACTAATTACTTACATTAGCTGAGGGGACAGAAACAGAATGTCTAAGTTCTATGTAACTGTGCTAGAAGCACTTAATTATCTTGAGGTCTGTCCCCTGATTCCTTTCTACCCAGATACCTGATTCATTTCAACTTTGTTTTGTTTTGACACTTTTTTTTTTTTTTGGAAACAGATTTCACTACTATAGCCCAACCTGGCTGCAGCTTTGTGAGTACTGAAACTAAAGAAATGTTCTACAATGCCCAAATTTCCTTTCAATTCTAGTTTTGTTCTTTTATTTTATGTGTATGAGTGTTTTGCTTGAAGGTAAGTTGCACACTATGTACATGTATTGCCCTCAGAGGCCAGAAGAGAGCATCAGCTTCCTGGGATGGCTGTGAGCCTTCATATGGATGCTTTGAATTGAACCTAGGTCCTCTGCAAGAGCAGCCAGTGCTCTTAATCACTGCCTTCCAATTCTCACTAAAAGCTCTCTGCAGCAGTAATGTTTGGAGCAACAAAACCAAAAACACTATTTGGAAAGTAGAGTATGGATCAAGAATTTAATCTTAGGGTATTTCTCTCTTGGAGCCCCTCCAATTCTCTGGAATTTTCTTAATAAATCTATATTTACTATGTATTAAAAAATATTTTAGGGCTAGTTATTTTAGTATGCTGCTACCATGCTTAGAGGTTTAAAAGTAGATTGGCTAAAAAAAGACATTAGTTTTTAAAAACTAGCAACTCCTTAGAATTTTGTCCACAAATCTTGGCTTAGTATTAATGGTTTTATTCTAAGTCCTAAATAAGCTATTTATATAGGTTGCAAGTGTAATGATCACCCTTTGAAAAGAAGCTATTTCAGAGCTGGGTTTGACGACTTACACCTGTAATTCCTGCACTAGGGAGGCTGAAGCAAGAGGACTGCTAGGAATTCAAGGTTAGCCTGGGCTGCACAGTAAGTTCCAGATCAGTCTAGTCCAGCCTACAGAATGAGGGGCTGTCTAAACAACAACAACAACAAACAACCTAAACAACAGGAAGCTATTTTACCAGATGCCTGGAAACAAGGAAGCCAGTGATTCTAATCAAAATGCAGCTTCCCTGCTCAGCTCAATTACTAGTCACCGTTTAATAACTCAGTTTCTTTCTATTCAGCTGATGATAGTAAGTTTTTTGCTTTGCTTTTGTCCCCAAGTATGGCACTATTTCTATTTTAATGTTTCTTCTAGAAGAAGGTTGTCACTTTGAATTCTTACCTTGACCTGGAGCAGAAAGGCTTGGTACTGAAATGGCACCATCACTGGTGAAGGCTGAATAGAGGTTGTCACTGGAAGGAGATGGCTTAAGAGGCTGTAACAGTTGGTTGTGCCCAGTTTCTGGGGTGTTGCCCGGGGGGTGAAGAGTCTGCTGGGGGTGTAAGACTGAAGTTCCACTCTGACCAGACAGGTTACCTGGTGAAAATTAAAGAGGCTTGAAGAAACATGAAGAAGGCTGAAGATGTATTTCAATTCACTTAGCAGTTATGAAATCCTGGGTTTAATCCAGCACCACACAAACCAGGTATGGTGGTGTATGTCTGTAATCTCAGCCCTTGGGAAGTGTAGGAAGAATGATTAGGAATTCAAGGTAATCTTTGACTACATAGTGAGTTTGAAGCCAGTCTGGGATACTTGAGACCATATATTCAGTGAACCAACCAACCAACCAACCAACCAATAAAACAAAAAGAAAGAATAAGAAAAAAAAATATATCACATAAACTTTTCCTAATATACTTAATTGTTTCTGATTCCTATTTATCCTGAGTGGTAATTTTAAAAACAAAACAAAAATGTATAAATTGACAGACAAATCCTTACTGATATGAAGGTTAAATGAGAAACAATAAGATGTTTATGGACATAAGGTTATTTATATGAATTGCCTCTCAAGAGTGATAACTTTAGATAATGCAGAGCTCACTAGGTTGAGCAGATTGAAGTGTAAACTAGAGCCTGCAATAGAGATGAAGATTCCATTTCTATTTCCATAGTTACTGTTTTCTGCCATATTAGAAAGATGGTGATTATAGAAATAGGCTGTTAGTTTCTGTTTAGATTTTTTTATAAAAATGCACCATATAAGATATTTAAAAAGGGGCTAGAGAGGCTGGGTGGTGGTGGCACACACCTTTAATTCCAGCACTCAGGAGGCAGAGGCAGGTGGATCTCTTGTGAGTTCGAGGCCAGCCCTGGCTACAGAGTGAGTTCCAGGAAAGGTGCCAAAGTTACACAGAGAAACCCTGTCTCAAAAAAACAAACAAACAAAAACAAAAAACAAAAAAGGGGGGGAGGCTAGAGAGATAGCTCAGCAGTTAAAAGCACTGGCTGCTCTTGTAGAGGACCTAGGTTAGATTCCTAGAACCCACATGACAGCTTACAACTGTTTGTAACTTTATTTCCAAGGGATCCAACACCCTCTTCTGATCTTCTAAGGCACTGCATACAAGTGGTGCACAGACATACACATAGGCAAAACACTCATACACATACAACAATAAAGCTTAAGAAAAAAGATAACAAAGAAAGTGTTGAATAATGATGTAGGTAACCGCAGACTAATGAATATTTAAAACTATTTTTTGGTTAAAAGAAAAAGAAACAAAAACAATACTTAATAGGGAGCTTTCAGTTACATCAACTGGCCATAATTTCTTAGTTTTCAAGTCACTAGTTACTCAAAAATTATGTCAAAACCAGAGTCTGAATTAGCCAGTCTCCCATACAGACACATCTGTATTAATGAACTGCATGAATTGGACAGTGTGCAAGAAAAGGGCTGAATATCTATAAAGGTTTCTAGACAATAGAGAGGTGGTAAGAAATTTCTAAATGTTTGCTTTCCATATTTCAACTAGACCTGGAGAACAAATGTGAAATCAACCTAGGTTTTAGCCCTCTTTCACTTTTAAACCAATTAGCTTTTATGTACTACACATAAGAGCAAAAACTTTGTATCCCATTAAAATGGATATAGTCTATTTGAGAAGTCATCATTTCATATCTGATTATAGAGCCATCCAGTTTTTTATCCTAAGATGCAAAGCTTCATTTAAAGGTATTACCCCCACAGGCACACCCAAGTCTCTATGGCATTTACATTAAGTTTAATTAGTATTATGGTCAATTCAGTCATTTAAAGAAAGAAAGAATCTAAAGTTTATTAAGCAGAGAATAATCTTTATTATTCTAAATGCCCAAGAGTCTGATCAAATTTTGAGTTATATGAATTAATAGGCAAAGCTAAATGTTCATCCTGAAGAATAACCATAAACAAAGATTAACAGTAGATAGACAGTAACACTGACTACATTAAAAAGCCTACTTCTATAGAGTCAAAAGAGGTTCAAAACATCCCAGGGATAGAAGAGCCAAAGAAGCAGGAATAATGGAAAGCCCAACTCCTTTGAAATTTAATAAAAGTTAACAAATGTTTAACAGGTTACATACATGCTGGTTGACTTGACTTGGCCCAGGGCTTCTTACCTGAAAGCTGTGGGCTTTTATTGCCCAAGGAGCTGCTGCGACTAGATTTACTGCCTTTGCTTTTAGTAGGTCGCCTTCTTCTCCCCGACAGAGGAGCAGCTGGCGGAATAATGACAGCAGGGGGAACCTTGCCCAGTTTGGTATACAGAGATTCAATTTCATGTTTCTGGCGACTTTGCAGGTCCTGAATCTCTTTAAGATGTCTATAAAAGATAACCAAATATGGATAAAAATATAACCATTGTTGTTCCAAATAAAAGTTAAAGCATATTCCTAAATCTGCATTCCAGTGTTTACACAGCTATGAACCCTTTTCTTAAATGTGCTGTGAGATTCTAGTTTGACAATTCATTTTGCTGTTTTTTATACACAACACACATTCCAGTAAGCTCCTAGTCTAGATAATAGCATGGTAGAGAAAAAAGATAGGAGTCCATACAGAGGGGAGGTAAATTTGTTACTGTGATCCATGATAATTAGCAAAAGTATAAACATAATTATACATTGTAGTGCTATTATTAGATTCATGTTATAGATATTAACGGAACTGAAGAGATGGTTCAGCCATTAAGAGCACTTTCTCCTCTTGTAGAGGACATTGATTTAGTTGCCAGCACCCACATTACAGCTAACAACCATCTGTATGTAACTCCAGTTTCAGAGAATGATACTGTCTTCTGTCCTCCATGGCTGCTGGGTACGCACATGGTGTACATACATACATGCAGGCAAAATACTCATACACATAAATAAAGGTATCATTAACAAAAATAATGTAACAATATAAAGGTGCTGCAGAAACCCTAAAACTAGAAAAGCCATGGATGCTGATGAGTACAGGACTACCCAATGAATCAGGTAATCTTAGCTTTTATGTATCACTTTCTGTTTAAAAGGAATGTGAGATCAGCATCTGTATTGAAAAGCTTTTAATACCAGGGTTGAGATACAAAACTAGCCACTATTTTACAGGGAAAAAAATGACTTACTTTTCTCGTAGCCGTCGCAGTTCTAACCTTAAGTCTTCATCTTCAATGTCCGACTCATTGTCACTACTCATGTAAGAGGAGTTGAATGAATTACTAAGGCTCTGGCTTAGACTCTGGATGGGAAGACTCTTGGAACACGGGTGAGGGGGAGAGTGTGGACTACCAGAGCCATCCTCTGCACCCCTACTGAGAAAGGCAGCCTCCAGGTCAGAAGAGGGCCCATTCAGATGGGAAGGCTCTGCCAGCTCAGGCTTCTCCTTCTTTGGTATCACAGCAGGACTAATCGTTTGTTCTGAATCTCTGAAAGGAGAGGTCACTGGTCCCTCTTTTTTGAGCTCTGTGACCTTGTCCTCGGTTCTTGAAACAGAGAAACGACCCACTTTGTTTGCTGTAGTTGTCACCTGAAAACGTCCAACCTTGGTAGGCTGCCCTGTTTCTGACTTGGCTTCTGGGGCAGGTGTTTGGTGGGTGCTGTCTGGCACATCTAAGGACATGCCAGGGATAGTTATTCCATTAGGCTCTGGCTTTACCAGGGTACTCTCTGGACTACTACTTGAAAGAACTGATGACTCTGATGTGCTAGATTCAAAATGAACCGACTTTGTATCTTCTGACCTATTTTTACGCTCTTTCGGAGCATCATCCATTGTAACTGAAACCTGATGGAAAAAGAGAATGAGGTGGATTAAAAATGATGTCCCTGGGTAGTGGTGCATGACTTTAACCCTAGCACTCTGGAGGTAGAGGCAGGTAGATCTTGGTAAGTTTGAAGAGACCGTGGTCTGAAAAGCAAATTCCAGGCCAGCCACGATTATATAATGAAACCTTTTCTCAGAGAGAGAGAGAAGTTGTTCTTCAATTTGTAGCATGCAGAATGCTTGCCTGGTATGAATGAGGCCCTTGGTGAGATCCCCAGCACCAAGTAGCCCAGCGTTGGCAGTGCATGCATGTAATCCCAGCACACTTCGGGTAGGGTGGGGTAGGGGATGAGGGTGAAAGGTGAACAACTAATTCCCCAGTGAACCTGTAGAATCTCTTTTCACAGTCTCTTCAACCATTGTGAAGTAAACTCAACACCTATTACAGAGGACATCACTTCAGTACTGAGATGCACATTCTTGGGGCTGCTGAATAAATGATTCATTTTTACCTCTCATGTGACACGATTCTGTAGTTGGAGAGTTTCTCTTAGGGTCCCGCCAAGCCCCCCGCCAAAGAAGGTATATAGTTATAGAAATGGGTCAATTTAAGATATGAGATCTAGATAGCAAGAAGACTGCCATGGCCATACAGTTTGTAAGTAATATAAGTCTCTGTGTGTTTACTTGGCTGCAGGACTGGCAGGTGAGAGAGATTTGTCCTGACCGTGGGCCAGGCAGGACCAGGAAAACTTCAGCTACCCAATTCAAATTCATGTCTCAGTCAAAATATAAATAACAGGTTACAAGATCTTGAATGTTTCTTATGAATAGATTATATCCAACAGTATTAAACTCCAGATCCCTGCCCCGACTTGTTCATCATATAAATGCAGCCCATCACAAACTCTTAGAAGTTTGCAAATTAAAATTAATCACATATAATCTCCAACTCCAAGGACTATCCCACAAATAATTTTGAAGTGGTTGTGAAAACAGTTTTTTATATGTACCAAGAGTCAGAAAACTCACTGGTTGGACCAAGTGGGGAATTAAAATGTAGTATCACTTGATGCTGACTTCACTTTAGGACTGAATACTAAGACAAATATCTTAAATATGGAAACTACTTTTAGACATAAATGTTTACTATTACTTTTCTTAGTAGTAGTTAAGGAAAATTATAATAGTATATAAATATAAAATATAAAATAGTAAGGAAAATTATAATAACCAGGAACAGAAGAGATGTCTAGGTAAACCGAACAGCAGTTGGGAAAAGGGGTCTAGAAAAGACCATTTAGAGAAGCAGTAGCTAGTAGAGGGTAGGTGGAAGAAAATAGGAGTCTGCATTTTCTTCAATACTAGTACTTATGGTTTATGAGAGGTAAACAATAGAGAGCTCTAAAATGATATAAAAAATATATCATTAGATTGATAAGTAGTCCCAAATACATAGGTAGTATGTGTTACCCTTCTGGGTGTTACTTGGGATTGAACCGAGAGTCTTGAACATGCTACTTAAGTGTCCTACCCCTGAACATATTCTAACTCTCATTTTACTTTAATTTTGAGATAGGATCTCACTAAGTTACGAGTCTAGACTTGAATTCACTTTGTAGTCCAAGGAAGACCTCCTGCTTCAGGTTCCCAACCAACTATCTGGGAATACAGCCCATGCCACCAGGTTTGGCTAATAATTTTATTATATACCCTGGCCCCAAAAGAGGGCCAGCCAAATGAAATGATCATCTTACCTGAAATCGTCCCATCTTAACAACACCAGCTCCTGAACTAGTTGCTAGGACATGACCTTCAGTGCCTTGAGAAACAGAACAAGTAACAGAAGATAGAAGCAAATTAACATCTCTTTCCAGTTTCTTTGCAATCTCACCAGAAATGACATTAAAGATCCCCCTGCCTCCCCTTCAAGACAATCTGCTAGCTCAGACTGACCACAAAACAGCTAAGGCTTTGTTTAAAAATTTTTTGTTATTATAATGGTTTGTTTATGATGTTTGTATGTGAGTATGGGCTTGCATGTAAAACAGCACATGTCAGAGGACAACTTTCAGGACTCAGCGCTCTATTTATAGTGTAGATCCTGGAGACAGAAAGTAGGTTGTTAGGCTTGCTAAGCAAGCACTTTTAATCTCTGAGTTACCTCACCAGGCAAGATAACTTTAAAAACACACAAACAATTACATTTATTTATTTTGTGTGTGTGTATGTGTGTACACTTGTGTGCTGTGGAACCAACTTATGGCAGTTGGTTCTCTTTCTCACCTCGTGAATCTCAAAGCTCAAACTCAGGTTGACAGGCTTGGCAGCAGAAGTTTCTGCTTGCCGAGCCATCATCACACTACATTGGTCTTTCTTCCTATATTCAAATTTGTCTAAGAATAGTCTCTTATAGAGCTGTGGATTACAACTTTGACAGATATTACTACACTGACTTCCAGAGGCTTTTTCCAATGAGGCTGAGAAATGCTATTGCTTATAATTTTGTTTTGTATTTTTGTTATTAAGTATTTTCATATCACATGGTTTTAATCCTAGCACTTGGGAGGCAGAGGCAGGAGGATCTCTGAGTTCAAGGTCAGCCTACTCTACAGAGTGTATTCCAAAACAGCCAAGGCTACAAAAACAACAACAAAAACAACAACAACAATAACAAAAAGCATTTTCATATATAAGTTTATTTTTTGTATCATTTGCCAGTCTGTGTTCAATTTTAGGAACTCTTTATATTCATAGTGAGATCTTTGAGATCTTGTCATTCTAAAAGACTACTACTGCCTACTCTGGGTTGTACATCAGACTTAGTAACTCATTCCTCTGTATTAGGAATTAGAAAACTGTGATTAGTGGAACAAATTCTGCTTACTGTCCATTTTTACACATACATTTTATCAGAACATAGCCAAGCACATCCATTTATGTATTATTAGTTGCTGTTAGTTTGGAATATTTCAGAGACTGTTGACCTGAAAAGCCTTTTTAAAAAGTTTAGTATCTGGCCTTAAAAAAAGTTTCAATTTGGACATGGTAGCACATGTCAGTAATTATAGCACTCAGAAGGTAGAAGCAGGAGAATCAGGAGTTCAAGATAATCCTTAACTACGTAGTAAGTTCCAGGCTATCCTAGGCTACCCTTTCTATTAAAAACAAACAAACAAACAAACATACAACAACAACAACAACAAAACCCCAAATGGTTCTGGACTCTGCTCTAGATAGTTGGAGGGAAAGTATAAATATTGTTCTTAAGTATTTCAGGAGGTTTTACTATTTTTTAATGTGCCTCAATTAAATACTGAAAAATGGGTTTATGACATTTCCATACACACACACACACACACACACACACACACACACACACACACACACACACTTCATGATTTCTAGATTTACATGTTATGATGTTCTTCATCTGTGCTTCATTTAGAATTTTACCTTGGCTTGGCTTTATCCAGATGACTATACAATTGCCCCAAACCATTTATTAAAACATCCTGAACCATGGAGGCCATATATATATATGGCATGGGGGACCCTAGGATGATTGTGGCTTATAGTAAGTTTTGGTTTTACTCAATTACTGAGCAAGCCTCAATGAAACATTTCACTATTAAGGTAAGAATTTATATTGTATCAAGCTGATAATAGAAAAATTAATTAATTAATTAAAAAAATAATAAAATAAAACATCCTATCTTGCCAGGTGTGGAGGCACACACCTTTAGTCCCAGCACTCAGGAGGCAGAGGCAGGCAAATCTCTGTGAGTTTGAGGCCAGCCCAGTGTACATAATGAGTTCCAGGACAGCCAGGGCTATGTAGAGAGACCCTACCTCAAACAAACAAACAAATAAACAACAATAAATCTTCTTACAGGTTTAGAAAGCCATCTTTTCAGATTTTACATCCCTCCTTCCTGTTTTGTTTCTCTGAGACAAGGGATGACACTGTAGCCCACACTGGCTTGCAACTCATGGCAATCCTCCTGTCTTAGTTTTCTGAGTTAGGGGATTGCACCTACCTTCTACATTCCCTTTAATTGGTGCTATCCCTGACACCCTCAAGTGATGTAGATTGAACCTAGGGATTTGTAAGGTTTCATTCCCAGCCCTGGGCTAAACATCAGTTTTTATTGCATATATTCAAGGCATCTAATATATATTGGAAATCTACTTTGTTCATTTTTAGACTTTCTAGTCTTTTTTACTGATTTCTACCTTTTTTTTTTTTTTTTTTCAAGACCCGGTTTCTCTGTGTAACTTTGGCGACTTCTCTGGAACTCACTCTGTAGCCCAGGTTGGCCTCAAACTCACAGAGATCTGCCTGCCTCTGCCTCCCGAGTGCTGGGATTAAAGGCATGTGTCACCACCGCCCAGCGATTTCTACTATTTTTAATGACAGCCAATTCAGAATGTGATTGCCTAGAAAATAAAAATAATAATGTCCAAACTGATAAATTAGTAATTTTTTTCTTTCTTTTTTTTTGTGTTTTGAGACAGGGTTTCTGCCTTAGCCTCCCTTAAAAGTTTGTGCCACCACCATCTAGCAGTAGCTTATATTTTTATCTATGAGCAAATATATATATTAACTAAACAGTCAGTGTTAATAAGAGCTGGGCGGTGGTGGCACACACCTTTAATCCCAGCACTCGGGAGGCAGAGATAGGCAGATCTCTGTGAGTTCAAGACCAGCCTGGACTACAGAGAGAGATCCAGGATAGGCACCAAAACTACACGGAGAAACCCTGTCTCTAAAAAGCAAAAAAAAAGAAGGAAGAAGGAAGAAGGAAGAAGGAAGAAGGAAGAAGGAAGAAGAAGAAGAAGAAGAAGAAGAAGAAGAAGAAGAAGAAGAAGAAGAAGAAGAAGAAGAAGAAGGTTACTTGTAAATTGACCACCCCTCCCTCTTTCTTCGGCCTTGAGACAGTATCCAGCTGTAAAGTAAGCCAGGCTTTACTTCTACTCAAAATTATCCTGCCTCTGCATACTGAGTGCTAAGATTATAGAGGCACATCACTACACTTAGGCTTGCAAACTGCTTTTTTTCCCCCCAAATTTATTTTTATAAATATACCTGCATTTTAAAATTAATGTCTTATAGCAAGGTTCTTGCCTAGCTAATAACAAATGATTTTATGTTATGAAATCATACAATGTTTATTATATGTACTTCTTCACTCCAATAATCATTCAAGACTCATTAATCAACTAATATTTCCTCCTCAGTCATGAATGTTATATTTAACAGCCTAAAGTGCACAACAATCTCAAAACTATATCTTTTAAATAATAAACTATATTATCAATTACAGGTAGAACTAGGCTTAATAAAACAAAAGAAGGAGGCGTCTCACCATCCTTTTGAGGCTGTGTTCCTGCTTCTGTAACTGCCGTTGAAGCCATCGTGGACACAGGCTGCAAAACACACACACACACACACAGATAGCACAGAAGCTTCAGTTTTAATCATTCTTACAACTCTGCCTTGTCATCTTTTCTCTGGTCTATGTAAAATGGCAGAAATACAGTATATATGATGAGATACTTTTGTTTAATGTAGTGTTTTTTTGTTTGTTTTTTGTTTTTTCTTTTATAACCTAAAGGTGTGAGATATAGATAGGAAGCTTTTAGGAAGAAGCACTGAATCATAACTCTCTACTGCTTTCTTACTTTTACTCACAGGATTTAAAAAAGAAAAAGAAAATTGCCAGCAGAAGCAAGAAAAAGGCATTGGCTTCCCTGAAGGTTGAGTTACATGCCACTGTGAGCTGCTAGGAACTGAACTCTGTTCTTCTCCAAGAGTAGCAAGTGTACTTAATTGCTGAGCCATCTCTCTAGTCCCTCTAACAAGATATTTTTAAGTAGTGTAGTTTAGATATTTACTGGAATATATATGGGTTTTTTGAAACAACGTTTCTCTGTGTAGCTCTGGCTCTCCTGGAATTTGCTTTGTACACCAGGCTAGCCTTTAATTTAGAGATCCCCCTGACTCTGCCTCTCAAGTGCTTGGGTTAAAGGCTTGCACTACTACCACCTGGCTGGAAAGGAGTTTTAATCAAAATATTGTCACAGGGGTTTAACCTTTTCCAAAGCATAAACACAACATTCCTAATCGATCTGCAATATAATCTACCCAGAGGTAAAGAAATAAAACAAGTATCTCTGATATCCTTTCCATAGTTACATTAGGGGGTCAGAGTTAATCTTTGATTAATCTGTGCCATTTCTGTTGACAATGACTGAATAGGAATTAAGGTATTTATAATCTAGATTATAGTTTGTGCTCTAGAAAACAATTTGAAGCAATTTTTATCAAGGCTTTAAAAACTTACACCAACTGCAGACGTCACTGTAATAGTCTCTGGACTAAGTGTTCTTCTTAATTGAGCATCAAGGTCTTCTAGTGGTTGCTGGGACTAAACAAAAAACAGTTATAGCATTGTAAATTGTTTAGCAGCTTCGGGCACTATATATAGTTAATTGATACAGAACATATTTTATGCTTTAGATCACAACACAGTATTTGTTGCAGGTGTAACAGCATGATTTATCAAGTTGTCAGTGTAACAGTCCTTAGGAATTTATGCTTTTGTAGCTTCAAAATCATCTTTCTTTTTTTTTTTTGGTTTTTCGAGACAGGGTTTCTCTGTGTAGCTTTGCGCCTCTCCTGGAACTCGCTTTGGAGACCAGGCTGGCCTCGAACTCACAGAGATCCGCCTGGCTCTGCCTCCCGAGTGCTGGGACAAAATCATCTTTCTTATCTGCTATGTTTAATGTCAGGGAATTTACTGTCTTCTATTTAAAAATACATTCCAAAAAGCGTTTCAGAATCTACTGTGAGATTTTTTTCCCCATACTCATTTTCTTTCTTTAAAAAAACAACAACAACAACATGTTTTGTGCTGTGTAGTTCAGGCTGACCCTCAAGTTACAGTAATCTTCCCTGGCTTAGCGTCCTGAGTACTTTTACTGCTATGTCTGGGTCTTTCTTAATTTCATACATTTTTCTGGGAACTGCTCTTTGATTAAGAGATAGCATTTACACATCTAGTCACTATCAATGAATATATATTCTGTTCTATATTAAGAGTATACTTCCTTTTCTCATTAATGATAGTAAGGAGGTACTATGCCTCACTGGTGTATAACTCAAGTACCTTCTTTCTACTTTTGGCATAAGCTCTAATCCTGCATCTAACCTTGTCATCTTTCTTTCCTATATGCAAGCTTTTTATCCATTAACTCCACATCTTTCTCATTACACTTTACCTTCCCTTAGAAATCTGAATGCTGAGTTATATGTCTTGCTATGTTTCCTAGTTTGGTCTCAAATTCCTGGGTTCAAGTGACACTCCCACAGCATGGTGCCAGGCTTCTGAATACATGTTTCTAATGAGAAACAGGCTAAAAAAAAAATACATTCCCAATTTATAGACTTTGCATTACATATCCTTTTCTCTTGAAATTTTATGGCTGGGCTGTGTTCTGTGTAGAGTGTGTTCTCCGTTGGAGTTAATACTCTTGTGGCAAGTTCCTTACCCTACCATGTTCTACTGAAAATGAGGAACAAAGAAGTAGGGATAAATTCATACTGGGCTTCCAATGTAAGCAATCTGTAATACTTTTCTGATACATAATTAAAAACGAATTACAAATATCATTTCAAATTTACTTGCTATCTCATGTCAGAAGCTTTTTCATGTTTATAATGGATTTAGAACAAGTGCTTTCTAGTGGTGGGGAAAATAAATAACTTAAATATTATAGGTAAGTATGAACATTCTGCGCTTCAATTTACTTCACTAATGAAATTCTAAATACATAAGGAAAAACTTGTAAGCCCAAAGGAAAGGTGTGTCAGTCACCCACGTGCTTCCCACCCTTCTCCCTCTGGACAGGGACTTGCTCTGCAGGCCAGGTGTCTTCATACTCACTAGTCTTTTGCTTGACCCACCCAGGTGGTGGGATTATAGACCTGTTCTACCAAGCCTGGCTCATGATTCCTTTCTTTAAACAGAGTAAGCACAGAACTTTAAGGAAAAGTGAAGAACTCTCAGGGTGGGGTGAGTGGTTTCAGAGGTTTCAAGAATGCCAACTTATGGGTCTCCTCTAATTCTGAACTCCCAGGTAAATTCGAACTACATACAACTCTTTATTTCTACAATGGCTTAGAAGCTTTACCTTACTCCCTACCACTCACCCTTTCAAAATTTCATTTTATTTGTGTGTGTGTGACTGTGGTGCTTTGGGGTGTGTGTGTGTGTGTGTGTGTGTGTGTGTGTGTGTGTGTGTGTGTGTGTGTGTGTGTGTGTGTGTGTGTTTTATATACGTGTGTAGAAGCTTGAAGTTGACATCAAGTGTCTTCTTTGACTGCTTTCTACCTTATATTAAGTCAGATCTCACACTTGAACCCAGAGCTCACCATCTGACTAGTATAGCCAGATACAGTTTCTTATTTATTCATTTGTTTGAGGCAGGGTCTCCCTATGTAGCACTGAATGCCTGGAACTCATAGATCCACCTGAATGCTGTGATTAAAGGCATGTGCTACCATGTCAACCTACCAGATATAGTTTAAAAGAACAGTATTACCAAATTGCAGCCGAAAAATAGGGTGGAAGCCAAGATTATGCAGTGGAGAATTTACACAAATTCTGTGAAGGAAAGCAGGGGAGTAGAAAGTAATCTGCCAAGTTAGGGGTACCTGAGTTAGAGAAGGTCCAGGAAAAGCTGTCAGCTGCTCACAGGGTGGAGTACCAGCTGGAAGTTCAGTACCCACTGGCGGCACCTATAATAATGAAGGAAAATTCAAATCCATGAGTTATCATTGGTAAAATTATATACTAAAAAGAAAATTACTAATTTGAATGCAGAAGAATGAAATAAAAATGTGTCTATTTATGGCATACTTATATCATTTAAGGTATACTGTGCAAGGACATACTATAGTAAGAGTTATGATGAAATAGCTATGAATCAAATAGTAAAATACAATAAAAGGGAAAATAAAAAGACCAAATTCTTTATGTCGATAGAGGTACAGTCAGGGGCTGGATAGATTGTTCAGCAGTTAAGAACACTGGCAGATCTTGCAAAGGTACTAAGTACCTGCAAAGGTACCTGAGAGCCAGTGGGGTAGTGATGGCGCACACCTTTAATCCCAGCACTCGGGAGGCAGAGGCAGGTGGATCTCTGTGAGTTCAAAGCCAGCCTGGTCTACAAAGCGAGATCCAGGACAGGCACCAAAACTACACAAAGAAATCCTGTCCCGAAGGGGAAAAACAAACAAAACAAAACAAAACCAATCAAGGGTCAAGATTGATAATAAAAGGCATAAAAATATATTACTATCAAGTAATTTGTTTTGTCTACATAAAGATTGTACAGATAGTCCCTGACGTAAAATGGCAAGATCAAAAACTTTCCAATTTATAATAGTGCAAAATCAATATATATTCAGTAAAAACTGTATACTGAAGTTTTTGGTTTTGAGACAAGGTCTTGTGATGTAGGTCAGGGTGGCTTGAACTTGTGATCCTACTGCCTCAGTTTCCAGTGTTAGGATTATATGCATGTACCAATACATCCAGTCAACTTTTGGAAGGATTACAAGTATACCAGCACATCTAGTCAATTTTTGGAAGGTTGGGGTCCTGCTGTTACTGACCAGGTTATTCTCAAATGATTCTCCCACTTCAGACTCCTGGGTAAATGAGACTACAGGCACATGCCACCAGGTAAATTTCTAATTCTGCTCTATTGCCAGGATAGCAAAATATGGTATGATACTCTCTTATAATGCTGGACAGCAGCAATGAGCTACAGTTGTCAGCTACTCTCATTATTACAAGAGTAAAGAAGGGATATTCTACTGTTCTGTATTGCTAAGCTACATTAGGATAGGGTAAAATAATTTCCATTTAGAGTGAGTTTATAGGGATATAACCTTATATATGTGTCAAGAATATCCACATTACCGTCAAATGAATTCTGCTATCAATAAGCAATGCAGAAAGAGGACAGAAATATATAATACCCATCATTCAGCCTTATGACTTTTGGAGCAGAAAGAGGCTGAAGACAGCATAATGAGAGGAAATTTACAACAGCAGAACTAAACACATTCTAGTTATTAGATTTGAAGAATGAGATTATTCCCTTTCATTATACCAATTTTATCAGCTTCCTAGTTTTATTAACTTCGAATATTTATCTGTGGAATGTACAACAAAGAATATTTACTTCATTCTCAGTTGGAAGATGATAAACTATTGTCTTGGTAGAACATTTTGTTCCATTTTGGGATATAGAATTCTTTAACAGATACCAATTCAGTAAAAAATTTTTTTCATTAAAGATTTATTATATGGTTAAACTATGTATATCTATGTATGTCTATGTGGGGGTATGTGCAATCTGAATGCAGATGCCTGCAAAGGTCAGAAGAGGTCAGATTCCCTGGTGCTGGAGGTATAGCCTCCTGCACGTGGGTTCTGGGAACCAAACATGGGTCTTCTGAAAGCGCAGTGTGTACTCTTTAATGCTGAGCCACCTTTCCAGCCCTGCTTTTCTTTTCTTTGTTTTAGACAAGGTCTCACTCTATAGTCAACCCTGACTTGGAATTCAATATAGTGCCTAATCTCTCTTTGAACTTGTGGTAATTCTCCTACCTCTGTCTTCAAGTGCTGGCTGGAGTAACAGGCATGAAGCCTAAGTCCTAGGGAAATACCTGTATTTTACCTGATAATTATATATTCTAAGAAAATTGTTCAACATGACCTAAAAAAAAAAAAACGAAGCCACGTTTCAAACAAAGAGAAAATTCTTGTGTTTATTGTATTTATATCCTAAATCTGCTGTCACTTTAAGACTGAGTGACCAGTTTATATGCCAGGCACCTTTATGATTACATTTTAACTCTCAAGACTGTAGATGGAAGTTTCTGTCCTGCCTAGGCCTTTAGCCGTTATGCCACAAAGTCCTGTGGCAAAACATAGATTAATAGAAATGAGTTGAATTAAGTTGTAAGAGCTAGTTAGCAAGAAGCCTGAGCCATAGACCAAACAGTTTATAATTAATATATCTGTGTGTGTTTATTTGGAACTGAACGGCTGTGAGACCGGGCGGGACAGAAACTTCCGTCTACACAAGACTCAGCCGGAAATGTGGAATTACCGAGGGAGGGAGAGAGGCAGGGAAGAAGAATAATCACATTTATTTAGTCATTTCATAATGAATCTTACCACAGTCTTAGCTAAAGATGGCTTTGGGGGAGTTGTTCCAGGTTTTGCTCCTGTTGCAGTGCTGACTGGGGCTGAAGCATGTGTGCCTGGGGTAGAAACTTGCCCAGGTGTGCCCACTGGCATAACTGGCAAGCCAGTTGCTCCTAATGGTAAACTGGTTGGTGGTAAGCAAGTACTCGTAGTGGAAGTCATGAGTTTGCTTGGTGCTATAGCAGTGGTGGAGACGCCTGGGGTGACAGTGGTCTCTACTGCTAGAGGTGTATCTAGTGAAACAGAAGCATGCTGAGCTCCAGATGAGCTGTGTTCACTAAAGAGAGATCTCAGCTTTTCCTCCAGAGTCTTTATGTCATCGATCCCAGGAGCTTTGGATTGGGTATCAGCATCCATTTCTAAACAGTGAGTGTGAGGCTGGTTGGGAAGCAAAGCTGGTTGAGGCTGACTATGAATGAGTGTTTGCTGTACAGCAGGCACATTAACAACAGGTTGTACCAAGGGTGGGATACTGGGTACTTGGGGTAATAGAGGTGTAGATGTAGGTCCTGTTGGTTGGGGAAGGACAGGTGTAGAAGCTACAGCTGATGAGGTGACCAAAGGATGCACCACACCAGGCTGAGAAACAGAACTAGACACGGCTGTTCCAGAGGAGGAAGAGGACGGTGCACAAAAGGATAAAGCCAATCCTGTTGTACTACTGTGAGATGCCTTGTCTAGTGAGTGTGCACTAACGACCACTGTTTCAGCTAAAGTAGGAGCAGAGGTGCTGCTACTAAGAGGAAGAGATGGCTGTGAAGCTGTGCCTGGGAATGGAGTGCTAGTAGAGACTGATGTCACTATGGCTACCCCAGCAGTACTGCCTGCTACCTGTTGCAACAATACAGCTGGAGGCTTAACATTTGGGGCAGCCGCACTACCCACTGTAGTAGCTGAAGTTGTGGAAAATGTTCCAGAAGGAAAACTGCCTGTACTAGAAACAATGCTCCCAGATGTGGGAGCCTGAACTGGCTGAGATGGTGTAGACACTGCAACAACTGCAGGTACTGTAGAACTGGAAACCACACTGGAAAGTGCCGGTGACTCAGACACAGAAAATGTGGTAAGACCACTTGAAGTTATCACACCTGTGCTGGTGGTAACTCCAGCAATGCCTTGATCAGTGGGCAATGCAGCCTCAGACTGCATTACTGATGTGGAAATGTCAAGAGGACTGCTTGTTATAGGAACTGATACTGATGATGAGGATGCTGCTACAGTTGGGCCACCAGCAATGCCAGCCAAGAAAGGAGAAAATGTTGGTCCTGTGTGATTGAAATTTGGAGGTGCTGTATTGGGTCCTTCAGTCATCTGGGCATGTTTGAGTTCAGAAAAAGCCTGCTGGAGACTAAGGGATGAAGCAGAGTGAGACAAGTTCATTCCAGGGCCCTGAGATGTGGAGGCAGCAACTAGAAAGGAAAACAAAAACAAAGAAATTAACTCATTTTAAAAGCAAGGATTCAGAGTCTTTGAGGAACCATTATTAAATTATCAACAATGCTACACATCAGTAAAATTGATAACATCTCCCAAGGAAATGACATGCTCTGAAACAGTAAAGTAGTTTGACCAAGTGAGGCAGCTTGTGGGTACATAATCCTTGAAAAACCAAACACAAGTGTAACCTGAAAACATAATTTGTCTCTAAACTACTGTGTAGGTTCTATTTAGCACATCTCTCCTTTATCTATTTATTTTGGTTTCTCATAACAGATCTAGCTGTCTTGAACTCATTCTGTAGACCAGGCTGGCCCCAAATTCACATTGATCTGTCTGTCTCTGCCCTCTGGAGTGCTGGGATTAAACATGTGTGATACCATGTCTAACATGTTTTTATCTTTTTTATTTTTTGAGACAGGGTCTCACATGTGTGGTGATATTTTATGTGTGCTGAAATGTGGTGATACTTTATTTGTATGTTAATAAATAAAGTTTGCCTGGAGATCAGAGGAAATAGCAAGCCGTTTTAAGCAAACACAGAAGTCAGGCAGTGGTAGCACATGCCCTTAATCCGATCACTTGGCAGGCAGGGTCTCTGTGTGTTCAAGGGAATAGAGCCAAGCATGTGACACAAGCCTTTAATCCCAGTATCAACCATAGAGACCTGGAGGTCTGTACAGATAGGCAGTGACAAGGAAGCTGGGCTAAGAACCAATGAGAGGGCAGAACAGCAAGGCAATAAAAGCCTGAGTACACAGGAAGTCGTGGCATTTTGGAAGATGCAGAGCTGGTGAGGTAAGGTTGGTTGGTGGCTCTCACTATTTCCCTGATCTCTAAGGCTTTGACCCCTATATTTGGCTCTATGTTTTTTATTTAATAAGACCGCTTAGAAATTCAGCTACACATATGGCCACCCAGGCTGACCTCAAACTCATGATCATCCCTTTTGTCTCCTGAACAATGGGATCACAAACATATGCCCACGTCCAGATTTTATTTCAATGCTCTCTATTATAACCTATGTCCTCTTTCCATGTTACTTTATTATTAAATTTTCTACTTTTCATTTGATCATGAACTACTGCTTGATCAAGCTTCCATCATATCAGTGATTTAGTGGAAGATTTGCTTAAGCATAGCTGAATCAATCCTTACCTGTATCTGATGTTTCACTGGTGAAAACTTTGGATTCTCGTAACCTACTTTCTGGCACAGGACTCACTATAAACCGTCTTCCAGCAGAATGAACAACTTGTGTTAAAGAACTGCTAGGAACACCTGAATAAAACAAATCATTGAAGTTCATGTATACTGTTATACATGAATGAAGCCTCAAGATCCCATTATTGGCACATACAAGTTATCAAATAAAAACAAATAAAAAAAATAAAAACTCACCAATTTGCTGTGGCATGGAAGATACAGCAATTGGTTGTTTGAACTCTCCTTCTAATTTCTACAAAAACAGAAGTAAAATTATTCTCAAATGCAACCTCCATGATTATGCAAAGCAAACTGTCATATTTGATGAGACCACAAATGCTCATTCTCAGTTACAAGAGTAATGTGTGGCAATATGGAACTATTTTAAATAAACAGACCCCCATTATTGGTATAGTGAACCTACCTGAGAACCTGAAAAGCCATAGTCATCCTTTCCTTGCAGACTCTCCAATCCCTGGTCACCCTCAGGCTCCACACTGACATCCTCACTTAGCATTTCATCAGCTTTTTCAATAATTTCCCGTACTTGAGCCACAAAAGACTCTCTCTCTATTGCTAGAATAAAGTCATTGTTCACCTATAAGAAACATGATATCAATCTATTAGTACATTTCTTACCATTCTTATGACTTCTATCTATGCATCAGGGGTACTGTGTACTTGGTAATTAAGATACTACTTCTCTTTATAAGGCCCCAAACACATACATAAGCTACATCTTAGACAAAAACACCTCTAAGTCATAGACTATGGGTTGGGTATGCTAGCTTTAAAACAGAAATTAAAATTTACAATTGTCAAAATGAAAGTGGATGACAAAATACTGCATAGTTGCCTAGGACATGTACTTAAGACCAAATACTATGGGAAAATGTGGAATTCCAAATAGAGACATACCATAATTGTTGCTATCTCTTCAGGGTTGTCACCATCTAAGTCAAATTTGAATGTAACCATTTTCCGATTATGAGTTTCTAACTGACATTCTACTACTCGATCTCCTTTATTTGAAACCTAAAAAGAGAAAGGTAATACATATCAGATTTATTACTGCATTTGAGTGTTTGAGGTAGCAGACTATTACCACTATTCCTTGAATCTTAAACTGACAGTAAGGAAATCTTCGAAAAGATCTCAGCCCTCAAGCTCCTTGTATCTTCCATTAGCAAAGGAGTCTAGTCTTTTTTCTATTAGTTAAAACTCTGGAGCCTGCAGGAGGTGGTGGCGCATTCCTTTCGTACCAGCACTCCGGAGGCAGAGGCAGTCAGATCTGTGAATTCAAGGCCAGTCTGGTCTATAGAGCAAGTTCTAGGACAGCCAGGGCTTACACACAGAGAAACCTTGTCTTGAAAAACAGAACAACAACAACAACAACAACAAACCAAATAAAATAACAAAATAAATGTGATATTCAATTAAGAGATGGAGTAAATTAAATAAAAAGGTTGCTATAAAAATTATATATAGTTGGGTGGTGGTGGTGCATGCCTTTAACCCCGACACTCAGAAGGCAGAGGCAGGGGGATCTCTTAGAGTCTGAGGCTAGCCTGGTCTACAAAGCAAGCTTAGGACAGACAGGACTTTTACAGAGAAACCCTGTCTTGAAAAACAAAACAGAAGGTATCTTTATTTTATGAAGGGAATAGTTTAGACTTGATCTCTAAGATTAAAGTACCAAATTATTTCAACAATACAAAGGTTACAAATCAATATTTACATTTAAAATCCTCAGTTTTGGGCGAGCAGTCTTTTCGTGACGAGAGCGACTTCTTACAGATTTTCGATAATGACGTTTTGTTGTTCTGCCTTCATGTCTCCCACTGGATGATGGAGCATTCTCATTGCCATCACTCATTCCTGAAGCAACATCTGAATGTGCACTTGGAAGGAAACAAGTTCCATGTATAATGAGACTGAAAGGCCTGTTATCCCGAAGTTTCATGTCATCCTGCCTACTACTCAAAGGAGTGTGTTAGTTTACTTACCTGTCTACAGATGAAACCAATGTGACAGGCTGGGTAGGTTGTGATTGTGTTATTGGAGCTGGTTCTGGAGGAGCAGTCTGAGAGACTCCCTGAGTACTCTGTGAATAGAGAGGATAACTCAAATCTTGGCATATATGTATATAAAAATCATTTACCATTGCTAAGAAGTTCCCCTTTTGTTTTCCTGTTAGCTCTCTATAAGTCCTAGAAGCAATGAAGGTACTAGTAATTCTTAATATTCAAAATCTAAAAACAGTGTGCTTACATTTTCAAAGGAAGTTTCCAAAACTAGTTTCTAATACAGACTGTTGGTGTGGAGTCAGCCAACCTATTGCTGGGCATTGTGAAACTACAATTTGCCATGCAGACAGCATCTTACCAGAGTGTGCAATAGGGCAGGTAGAGCAAAGTGCAGAGATGAATTCAGAACTGTATCCTAGTAGAACAAAAATGATTGCTGGGAGCACAGCAAGATAAGATACTCTTATGAAACTGCCAACCGCAAGAGTTTGTGGAAGGAGAAGGACAATGGCTAACGCACTAGCTAGAAAAGTGAAATGCTAATAGTGTTAATCTTCTCTAAGGCAAACTCACTTCCCAACAGAACAGCCAGTGGCAACAAGGCCCCCACATTGGCATTTCATTCTGCTGTAAGAAAAAGTCATTTAGAAGTTAGTTTGACAGTCTCCAAATGAGTTCTCAACCAGGGGAGCCTATTTTTCCTTTGCTATTTGAACCCCATTTTAGTAGATGTTTTTCATATAAACATGCAGTAATTCCATTTACCTCCAGAACTGCTTGCTGGGAGGATGTAGTAGGGGGTTGTTGCGTTAAACTCACTGCTGGTTGGGACACCTGGACCTGTCCTCCTATACTGCCCATAGGAACCAAAAGATTTGATTCCACATAAGGTTGCACTACTGTAGGAAAGTAACCTTGGGTGGTCATTGCTTCTGTCGGCATAGGAGGAGGGGCTAGGACTGTAGAATGGATGCAAACAGAAGCCACGTTGGAAGAGGGAGCAATATTTGAATCTCCTGGGTATTGTGGTGGCAGTCGAGATGGGAAGCCCTGTGACAGAAATGAGGAAGGTGAGTTAGTGCGGGCTGGGACATCAAATTAGCAAATCAGTAGGCGAGGGGGCAGAGGAAAAAAAGCATAAAGCAAAGAACAGTGCCCCACTTTCTAATAATTAAAAGAAAATGTAAAGGTCATTTTCAAAATGAACTGGTAGATAATTTGGAAAGTGGCACTCTTTCAATCATACCTTAAACTGATTTCTCCTCCTAGAGACCATATAAGTAGAACTTAGAGATTTAATTCCTTACAGAAAGAATTTATAGCAATCTTACATGGAAGAATGCAAAAATCTCTCCTAGGTTATCAGTTATATTATGAAATGTTAATCCTCTAAATCTAAATCCTGAACTTTCTTGTTAGTATCAGATTGTCTGCTCTATTTATTGCCTACAGATAAAAGAGCAGTCTGGCATACTACACTAACCATATCCAGGTCTATCTAGCTTATCCTGAATACTGAGTTAACTCTTCTATTGTGTTTTCAAAAATGTGTAAGGATTTTTAAGATTTGATAATATGATGGTATTTGATAATCATATGATAATATGAGTTTCTTTGAGACAGGGCCTTATTATATAGCCCTGGCTGACTTAGAACTTGCTATGTAGACCAGGCTAGCCTTGAACTCACAGAAATCTGCTATCGGCCTCTGCCTCCCAAGCACTGGGATCAAAGACACACACTACCATGCCCAGCCTTTCATTTTTTTTCAGAATTTTGCTATTTTTATTTTATCCAGTTCAGAGTGTCAACTTTTGTTATTGTTACTCTGACACTCAACTAGTACATTTCTCAAGTTCTTAATGAATTGCCATTAAATTTCAACACTCTAATAACCTCTGATTTACTAGCTAACACAATACCTGGTACAGAACATCTCCAGAGGGAAGTGGACCCTCAGCAGCTTGTCCAAGGTTAGCTGGTATTCCCATGGACTGAACTGTTGGCTGTAGGAGCTGTGGGTGAACCTGACTCTGCAGCTGATTCACAGGCTGCAGAAGGGTTGGAAGCTGATTAGGAACTATAGTTGATCCCCCTGGGATTGAAGCTGCTGTAGCAGACGAAGCCAAGGTGAGCAGAGGCTGATTAATGCCAGCAGCCATCGTTATAGGAACGGATGAGAAACCTGTCTGAGCCGTAGACACATGAGGAGTTGATATGGGAATTTGAGAGACAGGATACTGTGGGAGTAAAGAAGTAGGGAGCGGCTGTCCCACAGGAAGGAAATGAGCACCAGAGTGGACTGGAACAACTGAGGGCTGTGCTGACACTGGTATGTGAGGTTCACCTTGGATAGTTGGTACTGCCTGGGAAACTGGAAGCTGGGAAGGTAAAGAAAAACAAAACAGACTTTTTTTTTTTAAAGCAAAGCTGCCAAAAGCAAATTTACATATTAGTCAAGAAGAAGAAAAAACAAAACCCTGCATACATTAGTATAAATTAACATGCCACATAAGAATCAAGAAAGAATAGGAGAGAAATACGCTAGTAAAGTGTCTAATATTTCCAAACCTTTTGTAGTAGAAAAAATTGCTAATGTTTCATTGTTGGGAATAAAAGAGGACCTTTACACAAGCAACGATTTCTCTCCTCTCTCTTTCCTGGCTTATTTTTTGATTTTGAGTCTCACTAGGCAGCTGGGGCTTTCCTGCAGCTTCCTAGGTGGTCCAGACTGGACCTAAAACTCTAGGTCCTTCTGCCCCTGCCTTCCAAGTGCTAAGACTCCAGACTTGTACCAGAACAATTTATTGTTGTTATTTGTTTTTTCTTCCAGACAGGGTTTCTCTGTTGAACAGTCCTGGCTGTCCTAGAACTCACTTTGTAGACCAAGCTAGCTTCAGAATCACAGAGATCTGCCTACAAAGGCGTATGCCACTACTACCTAGATTTGTTTATTGGCACATGCTTCACACACCATAATCCACCAGCACGTCTGTGATCACCTAATCTATGACTGCTATTATAGTGATTAAACTCAAATTTCTTTGCAGTGGAATTAGACTTCATCTATATTGTCTCAATTTTAAGGGTAAAATGGCTCTGTAAAAGTAGGTATAATTAACTAATTCACTGATTCTAGGATGTAGTCACCCATCATTCCACAACTGTGTCATTTTAAAATCTGAGAAGTTGAGATATATGTAAAAATTAAGAGTATATACTCAGTGAAAATTAAAATAGTGCATTTAGAGTTGATATTGTTTTAGTTCTGAGATGACAATAACAATATTCTATGCACATATATCTACAAATGACCCATAGATGAAGTTGATAAAAGGTTATTCATAAGAACATGCCTTCTATAGGGTACTTTCCAAGTGACTGAATAAATCAACAAAAGAACAACCAAAATAATTCCCTCAGGCAAAACAAAAATCCACATAAGTTTTTTGGGGGGTGGGTGTTGTAGATAGCTCAGGTCTGTCTGGAACTTTTGAACATTCTGCCTAAGGAATTGCAGACATGTGTCAATATGCCCAGCTGATGGCTAATCTTGGCTGTCAACAACTTCTTTTTTTTAATTTATTTAATTTCATTTTATGTGCATTGGTGTGAGGGTGTCAGATCTCCTGGAACTGGAGTTACAGACAGTTGTGAGCTGCCATGTGGGCGCTAGGAATTGAACCTGGGTCCTCTGGAATAGTAGCCAGTGCTCTTAATCACTGAGCCATCTCTCTAGCCCCTTGGCTGTCAACTTTAATTGGACTGAGAGTAAAAGAGGAGATTAGTAAACATGTCGGAGAACATTTTCAGAGACAACTAGATCACAAAGGTTCTGACCCCTGATGGAGTCATAATTTAAATGGACCGAGAAGTGGAGGAAATGTGGAGAGTGGGGCCTAGTTAGAGGAAATGGGTGGGTGCAGCTTTGATAGGTGTATCTTGGCCTTATCCTATTCTATGCTCCTTGGTAGCCATAAAATAGTTTTATTTGTCATAATCCTTCCTCTATCCCCTGCTACAATGTAAAGGCAATATGGCCTGCCAATCATGGATGGACTGAAGTCATATGAAAAAACAAATGATTCCTTCCTTACAAAATTTTCCTTAGGTATTTGTCAGTGATGAAAAGCTAATTAACACAATGAGTTAGTGTCTGTATGCAGTGAGGGAGAAAACATTGATGAACTTTTACATGAAAATAAAACATAGCTGCAAACTACAATTTCAGATATAGCTGACACATTTCTTGAGAATGTCACAGGTTCAGTTACCAGAACATTTCCATTTAACCCATTAGTTTCAATATTTGTAACTACTTTATACCTGTAAACCTAAAATTTCAATATTTTTACACTGTCATTACTATTGATATGTACCAATTTATAATAAATACATGTGTATAATGGGATTAATTCTTACTCCATTTTAACAGAATCGTCACTATTAAAAGAGATGGCAGAAATCTGTGTAAAGGGACAAAGTACAATGATATCATCTGTAGCATCTTTTCAGGAATTAGAGTTTACCTGTGTTCCAGCTGACACTTGAGGCAAAACCTGTGGAGCTTGAGGCTGTGCAGTAGTACCTTCAATGGAAGATGTAGCCTGTGGAAGTGAATACTGTACTGCCTGTTGCGGAGGAACAGTCGGCTGTATTCCCTGTTGCTAAGATTAAAAAAAAAAGATTCAGATTTTTTGAAAGAGGGATGCTGCTATGGTGCCTCAGTTGGTCCCTTTTTTTTTTTTTTTTTTTAGGACAGGTATCACTATGCAGCTCTGGAACTCATAGATCTGCCTGCCTGTCTCCTGTGTGCTGGGATTGAAGATAATGCTTGAAAACTGGAGACCCCATTGGTTTTCTCCAACGTGGCCCTCTCCCAAACAAGAAGTCCTTAAATATTTAGTTACTATATCCAATAGTTACTTAGCTCTCACTCCAACAACGTTTACACCCCTCTCCAGGTATTTTTGGTATCAGTTTACATCCTGGCTCCTATACTAGACTAATCCAGGCTCTTCTTTCTTTTCTTTACCAACTGCACAATTAGTCTGAATTCAAAAGCATGAGAAAAGCATAGGGCTTGAATCAGGAAACACTTTCAAATTTGACTTTACCATTTGTTAGCCTGTAATTATTTAGACTGATTTGTTTTTCCTTCCAAAACTGGACTTTGCCTTTTTTCTTTGAAAACAAAAACATTAACATTAACAACTCACCATGGGGGAGAGAGAACGACATCTGAGAACTAACCATATGCTAGATACTGAAATGTAATTGTTATCCGAATACTAAACATATAGTTTAAATGTATTATAAAAGTTACAAATAAAATCACATATAGAAATTATCTAGTCTCAAAGACTTTATTTATGACTCAGTAAACTTGCTTTCCTGGGAGTCCAGTAATTTGGAGATTGTAACAAACATGTAATATTTGAACATTTGACTCAGTTTTAAGACTTTCATGGGCTGGAGATGACACAGCTCAGTTGGTAAAGTGTTTATTTCGAAAGCATTAGGACTTGAGCTTGACCCCCCCCCCCCCCCACGCAAATGCATGGAAAAAAATGGGTATGTTTGTTGTGCCCACCAACCTCCATATTTGTATATCTAGTTCTAGGCTCTGGAACTGGTAAGCCAGTTTAGTCTAATTGGTGAGTTCTGGGCCAATGAGAGACTCTGTCTCAAAGAAGGTGGTCAGCATTCCTAAAGGTGACAGCTAAGTTTGTCCTCTGGCCTCAATGTGCACACATGTACAACACACACAAACAATCACAAAAACACACCAAATAATTCAGTATTTAGTTTTGAGACAGGGTTCTGGAATTCACTCTATAGACCAGGCTGGCCTTGAACTCAGAACTCTGCCTGCCTCTGCCTCCCAGAGTGCTGGAATCAAAGGTGTGCTCAACTACCTCTCAGCTATTGGACTCTCTTTTAAGCCCTCAATACACAGCAGGGAAATCAGTCCTTTAATCTGTGTGTGACAGTGTTTTCCCATCTGTCACTGTCCTCTGACTTTGCAGTGTGGGTGGGGTGCTGGGTATGGAACCATGAAGTACTGCAAGCTGAGTTGTGCTGTGGCTGGGATTAAAGGGGCATGCCACCACTGCCCAGCTAGCCCAATCTTACAAAGGCCATGAGGCTTCCTGCTCTCTGATGACTCTAGCTTGTGTTAAGTGGAGGTAAACCTAGCTAGCTAGCACAAATCCTTTGTCTTGGTATATCCAATACAACTATTTGGCTGCTACTTATATAAAGGTAAGCTATTTATTCACAGTTATGCATATAATCACCTTAATGAGTGCCTTGAATTTTTATGAGATATCTGGAAATATTTTTGTTCTAACAGAAGAATGATTTTATACATCAATTAAAACTACCAAATTTGCCGGGCGGTGGTGGCGCAAGCCTTTAATCCCAGCACTCGGGAGGCAGAGGCAGGCGGATCTCTGTGAGTTCGAGGCCAGCCTGGTCTCCAAAGTGAGTTCCAGGAAAGGCGCAAAGCTACACAGAGAAACCCTGTCTCGAAAAACCAAAAAAAAAAAAAAAAAAAAAAAAAAAAAAACTACCAAATTTTAAAAGTGCCAAAATACACTTGTTTTATTCTTATTCATCCATTCTTGGTAAGTTTATTTATGCATTGGTGGTACTAGGAATTGAACATTCAGGGTCTTTCCTGCAAATGCTAGACAAGTACTCTATCACAGAGCATAAGCAACCCTTCAACCTTTAACATTTAATTAGTTTTTGTATGTGTGCCTGCTTCCATGTGGAAGTAAGTTCTCTTTCTACCACATGGATGCCAAGGATTGAACTCAGGTGGTCACACTAGGCAGCAATTGCCTTTACCTGTTGAGATCATCTCAGCAACCCAAGCAAACCTCTTATAGATGTTTAATTAAATTAAAATTTACTTTAAATGAAAGGTATCCTGTGAAGGTGTGCTATGGAATAATCTTTTTGTAAACTGTGAAGATGTGTCTTTGCCTTCTGATTGGTTTAATAAAAGAGCTGACAAGCTGATAGCTAGGCAAGATTTTCAGGGCAGAGAGAATGCTGGTGTCTTTGGGAGTGACGCAGAGGAAGCAGCTAGCTAGTAACAAGCCTGATCTATTTGGCCGAGCATTTATAATTAATAACAAGTCTCCGAGTGGTTATTTGGGAGCAGCTGCTAGGACACAGAGAAACTCCACCTACAAATGGCACCAAAACATCCAGCACCTATATCCACATAAGACCCGAGAAAGCTCAAAAAAGGTTCTAAAAACACTAAATGCGGCTTTCCTAGTCTTGTGTCTCTCATGTCAACAGCAGTACAGAGATGTCTCCCAGCAGCTGCCTGCAGGAGAAGCCCGCTGCCATACGATACCAATATGCATTAAGCTATGCTACACCAGCAACAGCTGACATAGCAGTTTAAGTTTATCTCATGCCATAAAAAACCAATACAGATGCTTAGTAAAGACATCCAGATGGAAAAAACTTCTAAACAGGTTACAGTATGTTTAAAAATATACATATAATTGGGAGAGTAAAGAAAAATATATACAGTCAAAGATTAAAAAATAGCTTAAAAATTAGTAAAGTCCTTTAGAAAAGGAATAAAGTAATTAAAAAATATATAATAAGCCATGGAAAATACACAGAGAGTTTGGATTTTGAATGTTACTGTGTTGTCTTTGAGTTTCTGACTACTAATGAAGAAGTGACAACTGCTAAGTGACATTGGATTATGAAAGCTGCTAGATTAAACAAACCTGTATGTTTTTAAAATATCTTGACTTCAAAATGGAAGTCAAAAACTATGTTGCTTTGGTTTAGAGGTTATGTTTTTATTTCCACAGAAAATGAGAGGCTGTAGATTCATTCCAGGTTGATATAGATCAGGTTTGATCGGGGTAGGACCCACCTGAAAATCCTGGCTACAGACATAAAGAAACAAACCTAAAAAACTACAAAACACAACAATGTATATTTAACCTGCTCAAACATAAAACATACAAATCATCTTTGGCTAACTTGTATATAACAAACACACAGTTTATATTTGTATTAATACAAAAATGTATGTTACCTTTAAAAATTTATGTATTTTCAGAGCATAGGAACCAGGCACCAGTGAAAATGGATGACCCAGATGATCCAGCATCTCAAAATGCCTCTGTTACAGTTTCCTCAGAGTTCTGCATCCCAAACAACTTCAAGACTGTTGACTGAGATGGTCCACCCTCACAAACTACTCCAGCCAAGACTTAACCATTATCCTGAATTTTCTGGGGGTCCTCCAAATATGCCAATACCCCCAAACAACAGTAAGAGAACAACACCCACATCCCCAGAAGATGGTTTATGGATGTTTATTATCACTTAAGGGTGTTTGGTAACAAATTGTTATTGGTCTTAGTTTAAAAAAAAAAAACACTAAACAAAGAGTTAAATGCAAAGATCTCTTAAGAAAAAAAGGGGTATGACATAGGAAAGATAGGAAAAAAGGGTAGATTATTGAATGCACTTTAATCCAAAAAACAACTATTAATCTCAAAATATTTTACACTAGTATTTATTTTGGTTTACTAATGCAAAGTTATTTTTGCTATACTATATATTTCTATTCTTGTTTGGAGTACTGTGCTTATGCAACTCATTTAAAAATGTAATGTACAGGCTGGGTGGAGGTGGCGCATGCCTTTAATCCCAGCGCTCGGGAGGCAGAGCCAGGTGAACTCTGTGAGTTCAAGCCCACCCTGGTCTACAGAGCGAGATCCAGGACAGGTACCAAAACTACACAGAGAAACCCTGTCTCAAAAACACCACAAAAAAAAAAAGTAATGTACAGATTAACAGTCATCTATAATAATCAAACTTGTCATATTAGTTATGTTTTTAAGGTAAAGCAGATATATTTAGGCAGAGAGATGGTCTTCAAACACTTCAAAGACCTATAGAATATAGCATGTAATATGTTAATAACCTAAGGCTTTTCATGACAGTCTGTTCCTGGCAGCACCAATTTAGTTCAGGTGAGATGATGGGCATTGGAGAACCCCCATATGGAGTTTGCTTTTTCTGTGGCAAAAAGTAGTCACTGGGCAAGAAACTGCCCTTGCCTTAATTGCTGATAGTATACTGTCCAAACTGGACCAGCAAGATGCAAAAGAAAGTGACTGCCAATTTGTCAAGACATGGTAGGTAGTCCTTTGAGATTCCCTACTTCTGAAAAATGTCTGTTAGATATACTAGGCCTGTAGGCCAAAGTTGGATGCTTTAACATTACAGAAGAACTTTGGTTGACTGTCCAGGCAGCCAACGGTCTCTGTCATTAGGTAACATTACACCCTTCTGGGGTCTTTGATAGAGTTAAAGACTAAATAATTAGATTTAAAGTTTTCCTTAGTTATGATAAAAAGGTAAATTTGGTATGAAACTTTGGACTCACAAAGATAAAATAAATAACATGTCTCTAAATTTACCAAACAGAAGTAGACTGGATATTGTTAACTGTAATTCTTACTTGATAACTGTTTTTGTTGTATATAATTTTACTATGTTAAAGTTAAAACCTTTTTTATTTAGACAAAAGGAGGGAAATACTGTGGAATAGTCATTCTGTACACCATGAAAATGTGTTGCTCTCATTGTTAATAAAAAGCTGTTGGGTGAT